GTTAATGAAAATTAAAATCAACTTCTGTTTTGAGCACTTTGGAACTTGCCTCCAGCTACCTGGCAATCCTATGTCACCATAGTGGTATCCCACCTCTTCTGTCTACCTCATCAGAGAAGCAGTACATCACGAGCCACCTAGGGAGAAAGCCTCAAGTGGAACAAGCATGAGGATAACTGGAGATTCACAAGCCTGTTAACTCACTGTATAAACGTATTAAGGAAATGAGCTTCAATTTCAAAATGGGGTTCATTAGAGATTGAGAAATATGTTGCTTCAGTACTAACGCTATCCTACTTGGCCTAAACAAGTCCAAGACATGCCCCTCTTCTAGTAATGACTCTACTTGCAAAAACTCAGTTCTGTCTACATACCTGGCAAAGTAATGCTCTGCAATGAGAGGATATTAAATTATGCAGATTATTCTTGTGGAGGGCAAGGCTGGTTAATAAAACAAACCTGTACCAGCAGGCAGATGTTTTCAACTATTTAATTAGATGACAAACTTAGTTTGAAGTTATTCCTTTGTGCAATCTCTCCCCCAACCAAAAAAGAGAAAGAAAACAAACAAACAAACAAAACCCAAAACTGGCTTTAGTACCAGTTTCTCATCTTCTGTAAAGACATTTTCAACTCCCACCACAATTCTCAGTTGGTACTACTCAGAGCAAACTTTATCACCAGGGCCGCTATGGCTATGACCATTACTAGGATTAGTCCAGAATTAGTACAGTCACATGCTGGTTTGAATGAAGTACTGAAGTTTTGCTTATTAAACTGTATCAACGAATTCCTTGTTCCTTTTTTTTTTTTGACATAATTCCCCATTCTTGACATCTGTCAGCCAAGGTGAATTATGTACAGTCTGGAAGTCTACTCTAGAAAAACCACATGAACTCAGAACCTCACTGCCCAGACTTTTCCCTTGTCCAGCATGACGTTCATGGAAATTGCTCCAATTTCAATCATTCCTCAAGTCATGGTGGACCTTCTGTCAAGGAAGCAGCAGTGGTATTCTCAGTACTCTTCAGCCCCCTCAGTCACACAATATGGATTCTAACATCCTGCTTTCTAACATCCCTACAATATGGATTCTAACTCCTGCTTTCAACTCCTCATTTTCTATTTTTTATTAATAATGTTCACCTTTATAGACTTTCTCTAAAGATAGCCTTGATATCTTTCTCTACATATTTTATATTCTATATTACAAAAACTTTTAGGAGGCAGCACTATAGTCACCAAAATAACCGTTCCCTAAGTTCTGATTTAGGAATGTTTACAATATAGCAGGCAGCTGAGAAGGTGGAAATTCCCTTTTCAATAACTTCATCATTTTACTTTTACTTTAAACTCCTCACAACTAGAAACAGAGGAGCAGAGACAGGACAGACACACAGGTGTATTAAAATAATGCACTCATCTTACCTCCTGAGGATTTTCATTCGTGTTTCTAGAATACATAAAGCCTTTTCCGGGCTCACTCATAGATTCATTTGTTTTCCTACCAGCCAGCCGGCTCACCAGGCTCTTTTCTGTGACACTGGGTGGAGTGGAGCTGCTTACATCTTTGGGGAAGAGTTTTGGAGTCTCTATTGTCTCTAGAAAGTGAGTTCCTTCAGAGACAGCGTTGTACACAGTTGAGGTCACTTCACTAGTACTAACACTGTCCTTGACATTCCTTCTACCATTGGCATGTTCTGGTCGGTGAGCTCCTTTCCCTTGGCTGTTTCTAGGATCTTTACCTGAACTATCTGAGTCATGTTCTGGGCAAAGAGCTTTTCGCTTATTTTTACCAGAAGCAGCATGATTACGGTGAGAGTGGTGCTCGTGGTCCGAGTGGTGCTCGTGGTCCGAGTGATGCTCGTGGTCCGAGTGATGCTCATGGTCATGGTGTATATGGATTCTTTTAATCTTATCTATGCCTATATTTTGAAGTAATTTTCTGAACCCTTCAACTGACAAAGAATTATTTTCTCCATAGCGGTAGAAAAGCTGTTGTAGATGATACTGCCGTGTGGTAATTGCCAAGTCAACATTAATGCCAGATTCCCAATTCGGACTAATTTTCTCAGTGGTCTGGGGGAAAGCAGCTGCTGATTTTAGTTCATGAAGGGGATTTGTGACAGAGAGGGTGAAGGTCAGGATCAAGATTACAGATAACTTCCTCGCCATTGCACCTTCCTAGAAAAGACAGGAAAAAAAATTAACTCACTTCTAAAACAAATTGAATTAAGAAACCTTATACTGAAAATTAATGTGTTATCAAGGAATCAAAGTTGCCAGAGCATCATGTGGTGTGACCAGTGTGGCACTAGGTACTGTGAAGATGGAAAGAACTATAGTCCTAGGCTCTACCCTTGCATTCCTAAAACACATGAAACAACTGGAGAACAGCTGAGTGCTAAGAGGCTGCCATTAGCACTGTAAAAGCAATAGTAATTCAGAGACAGGAGAGATCCATGTGGCCACAGCCATCAACTTCTTACTGAAGTTGAGAATTTATTTGAATGATTATTTGAATCACTGAGGCCAATCATTCAAAATGAAATCTAGGCCAGGTGTGGTGACTCATGCCTATAATCCCAGCACTTTGGGAGGCTGAGGCAGGCGGATCACCTGAGGCCAGGAGTTTGTGACCAGCCTGGGCAACATGGTGAAACCCTGTCTCAAAAAAAAAAAAAACAACAAAGAACGAAATGAAATCTAGCTACCTTGATCATCACCATCATTTCATAAAATAATCTTCAAGCACCAAAAAATAGAAACAATAATCTCAATTCACATATTTAAAAAATTTTAAACTAATACACTCTCCTTATATACAAATCCACTTAAGACCCCTTTCTGCAATCACAATCCTCAAAGGTGCTCAATTTTGCCAGTGTATCCCTCAGGATATTTTCTATGCATACTCAAATACATGTATACTTAATTTTTCAAAAAAGATTTTTTAAAATTTTATTTTATTTTATTTTTGTGTAGAGAAGAGGTCTCACTATGTTGAGGTCTCACTATGTCGTCCAGGTTGGTTTTGAACTCCTGACCTCAAGAGATCCTCCACCTCCACTTCCCAAAGTGCTGGGATTACAGGCGTGACCACTACGCCCAGCCTCAAATAGGTGTGTACTTTAAATACACACTGAATCTTTTTTTCCTTCTTGACAATGAATCAGACACGTTACGTCCATACATAGAATTCTTAAAGCAAACTGAACTTCATGAAAAACTCACTGTAGCATCCTTGTGTTACTACAAACCAGTCAACATTTAATCACAGACTGTTAATAATCCACAGCAGTGTTTGGAACCAAAGGCCTATGCCCCAAGGAGGAGGGAGCAATTGAGTTGGAGCTTGAAAAGCAGAATTCAGTTAAGCAGAGCCAGAATTCAGTTAATTCAGATCCAGTAGGATGTCCAGCACCAACGGTGGAGGTGATGGTGGTCAAACCCACATCTCCAGCAAAAGACGCAGACGTCAAGCTTCCAACTAAGCAAGAGCATGGGGCTATCCAGCTCTACCAGGGTCAGCTGTTCTTCTCTGGGCAGGGCTCTCGCATTCATTACCGTATCTAAAATACCGGTAATTCCTATTTTGCAAGGCGAATGAGGAAAACACATGAAGGAATGTATATTACAAGTACTCGTTAAACTCATATGTTGCACAAGTGCGGGGTATCATACAGGGAACAGTGGGAAATGGAGGTACGGGGTAGAACGACGCTCCTGAAAGAGGAATCTTTGGGGCTTGAAGTTTCGGGAATTCTTCTACTAGGCAAAAGATAAACATTTAGAAATCATTCCCAGGAGAGAGGCGAGGAGCGGGGTGGGAGGGGACTAGCACAGGAGACAGCTCCGAGCCTTTCTCCAGGGAGGATGCTGAGCGCGGTCGCGGACCCGCTGAAGGATCTCCTTTCCTGCAAGTTGGCGTGTGCCGGAGGAAAACGGAAAGCAGAGGGGAAGGGCCTTGGAGAAAAAGGCGAGTACAGAAAACGGAGAAGAGGGCACAAAGCTCTCTTCTAAAAGCTTTTTATTTCTAAACACATCAGTCCCTTCTTCGAATATGGGATGAAAAGTACGGATCTTTTCCTCAAAAAATCCTCCGTTGTACCCCGAAGCCCATCTGAGCATCCTAAGAAGTCCGCCTCTCTAGGGAGAGGCGGCGCCTGTGGCGGGCTCCCCCCAGCATCCTCTTTCTGGAGCCCCCCTGCCCGGTCCGCAGGACACTGTTCTCCGCAGAACCCTCCCTCCCTGCCCCGCCTGTCTGGCCTGCGGAGCTCCCCTCCCAGCCGCCCTGCTCCCGGACCTGAGAGACACGTCTCCGCGGCCTCGTCGTCCCACGGCCCGGCCACGCGCGCAGGTTTGGTTCCACACGGGCGGTCCAAAGGGCTCGGAACGGGCCCACTGGTCTCTTCAAAAAATCTCTACCAGGCGCGGACACGCAGTGGTTTCATTGGGTTGGCTGCCCCTCGGTCCGGAGGTAGCGCCGCGCAGCCACCCGGCAGCCGCGCCCCTAGCCTTTGCGGAGCTGGAGGACAATCACTAATTACCGCCGCGCGCAGCGCCGCGGGGAACCACCGCCCCCTTCGGCCAGGACTGCGGGGCATGCGCAGTGCGACCCCGGAACCCGGCTCCGCAGACGGATCCGCTTTTCCGTGTGTTCGCCGACGCCGCGGGGGCGTGGCGCGGCCTAGCGCACTCTGAGCAGCTGGGGGGTCGTTTCCTCCAGGCCTTACTCGGTAGCCAGGGGCCCCGCGGCCAGCTGTGGCCGCTGCTGGGAGCCGGGTCATAAGGGGTAGCGGGATGTTTCTGACGCTGCCCTGGCACATGAGTCCGGGGTCCTTCAGGGAGGGTCCCGAGCCACTCGGGTTTCGCTCTTGGGACAAAGGCCTGGCTCGTGCGCGGGGCGGGGCCACAGCCCCAGAAGAGAGTTAGCAGAGCGGCGGCTTTGCACAGGGGTTCAAGAGTGTGGTGGAGCCAGAGGGCCGCAGGGGGGCGGGGCTGCCTTCGTCTGGCCTTCGGCTGCCTGCGAAACGCGGACCGGGTGATGCCCCAGGAGAAACCACTCTAGTAGTTCCGCTCGGAGGGCGGAAGTGCGCGTCTCAGTCTGTGCGGCTGACCAGTTAGCGACATGGTGGCGCCCGTGCTGGAGACTTCTCACGTGTTTTGCTGCCCAAACCGTGTGCGGGGAGTCCTGAACTGGAGCTCTGGGCCCAGAGGACTTCTGGCCTTTGGCACGTCCTGCTCCGTGGTGCTCTATGACCCCGTGGTAAGAGGTCGCTGGACCCCTGACCCTTGTGCTTTTGAGGTTGAACCTGTGGACGTGCACCGGGCGCGCTGTAGTTGCCGCCCCAGACCTAGGAGGCGAGTCGGGTCGTCTCAGGGGAGCGGGGTTTGGGCTCAGTCTCCAGAGGACCTGTCGGACTTGCTCCTCGCCCCTCACCCTTCGCCGTCACGCGTGGCGTCATCCTAGGGTCATTGCTGCCTATCACCTGCCAGTAACTTGTTAGTCGCAGACAGAAACCCGAATGATGAGAATCTTACCTGAAGCCTTCTTTGGGGAACTGTAGTACCGTTAATCAATTTGGGTTTTAAAACAATTGAAATTTATATTAAATAAAATTTAATATATGACGGTAAATTAAAACCGTCATCCCACAGGTGCAATCTCATTTCTGTATTTCCTTCAGTTTTGGTTCATGAACTTTTGTTGTATTGAATTTCAAGGAAATGTTACCTGTGTTATAGCTACGGGAATGAACATTTTAGAGAAAGTGATAGTTTAGGGGAAAGATCATAGGGGATGGGGATCCTAAGCCCTGGTTAGAAGGCGGGACTTCCCTCGACTTCACCCAGTCGATTATTTTCTTGGCGCTTTCCTTACCGTATTTCTCCAGTGAATAGTTTTTGTATGCTCCCCAGAATTCATTGTAACCCCATTCCCACTGGCTAATTTATGTCGGTACAGTTAGTCTTGCATCTCAAAAGGAGGCTCAGTATAAAAAATAAAATGTTGAAAATTAAAATACAATGTAGGAGATGGCTATATGTATTTCTGATCATACTGCTTTATTGATTTAATTAAAAATTCATTATTGGCCAGGAGCGTGTCTCATGTCTGTAATCCTGGCACTTTGGGAGGCAGAAGTGGGAGCATTGCTTGAGTCCAGGAGTTCGAGACCAGTTTAGGCAACAGAGCGAGACCCCCAGTCTACAAAAAGTTAAAAAAAAAAAATAGCTGGGTGTGGTGGCGTGCGCCTATAGTCCCATACTCGGAAGGTTGAAGTGAGAGGATCGCTTGAGCTCAGGAGTTTGAGGCTGCAGCGGAGTGGGATCACACCACCGGACTCCAGCCTGGGCAACAGAGCCAGACCCTATCTCAAAAAAAAAAAAATTATTCTCACACCCTTTGCAGATTCAAATATATATATGAAATATTTTTATCCACATTACCCCATCTTGAGCTTGCTTGCCTCTTCCTGGTTTTTGTTTCTTGTTATTTGCATACTTGAATGATAAGAGAAAGTGCAAAAAACAAGGGTAAACTTTAAAGGGACCATGAGGCAAGGACCGGCTGTAGAATGGGAGAGACCACAGCAGGCTCTCCATCATCTCCCACAGCGTCTCCTCATCCAGCACCGTGAGCGCGGAGCCTTGCGGCATTGCGGCACAGTTCCGCCATGGCTGGGCACTGGGAGGACCCTAGGAGGGCGGCTCTGGGGGTGGAGTTGTCAGGGAAGCAGGAGCCCGGGAGAGCCAGGGTGACACCATTTTAAAATCAACTCCGTCGTAAAATTAGCAAGGCACACTCTTTGCCAGTCAACCCACGGTCCTGAGATGTTTACGGCAGAGGAAGCAGCTTGGTAACGCCTGCAAGGACAAACTCCCACAACGACAAAATGTCCAGATGCCCCGATATCACAGGACAAGATCTGCTTTTAAGATGATTATACTCATGCTTTGATGTACTTACACACTGAAATGAAATTCTGATTCAGCTGTAGAATCCCATCTTTTTGCAGCAGTTGAATGGATTTGTTCCCATGTATTCCATCAGATTTTAAATCATAACCTGGTGGCTGAGCTAGTGAATTTTAGCCTATTGACAAAGAGGTGTTGAGCCTAAAAAGTACTTTGTCCTGTTAAATATTTGCTGGTTGGGCTTTTTTTTTTTTTTGGAGTGTAGTGACACAATCTCTGCTCAGTGCAACCTGCAACTTCCACCTCCCAAAATCAAGTGATTCTCGTGCCTCAGCCTCCCTAGTAGCAGGGATTACAGGTGTGCACCACCACACCTGGCCAATTTTTGTGTTTTTAGTAGAGACGGGTTTTACCACATTGGCCAGGCTGGTCTCAAACTCCAGGCCTCCCAAAGTGCTGGGATTAAAGGCATGAGCCACCGCACCTGGCCTCGATTGAACTTTTAAGTAAATATGGGAATAAAAGCATGTCAAATGCTAAAATAAAGTTTTGGGAATGATGCTTATTCAGCAAATCTTCGACAACCATCTGTGGGTTGGTCCTGGGCTGAGTGATGATGACACAAGATAATGAGTGGTAACTTGTGGCCACCAAGAAATTCTCAGTCTAGTGGGAGAGACAGTGAAATACAGTAAATTGCTTTCCAGCCTCAAATAACCTATATGTAAAATATATTAGTTTATGCACATTTGCCTTTTTCTTAGCCATGAGAATTCTAGTTGGTATATAAGCAGATAACAAAGCCATTGCCAATGACAACAAATAGAGAAAGGGGCTGTAAAGAGGAAGGTGCGGTAGTCACAGTTAAAATCTTTAGTGATGTGTGAAGTATGAGAGCTCCAAGTGTGGGGTGAGGTTGGTGAAAGCAACCTGTTGAGGATCTGTGGGGAGCCTGGCAATAGGCCCTGTAGGAATCTGATGTGTGAGGACTTCAGTAGTTGTGGCCTTGTGACATTGTGCCACTGGGTCTGAAAAACCCACCATCTCATTGACCATGGCATGCAAAGTGAACTGTGCTTGTACCCATTAATCACAGATTCCTCTATTGAAGGGCTTTTTTTTTTTGTCAGAGAAACCCTCAGATTGTTGCAAGCATAGTAGGCCTTCTTCCACAAGGAAGCAGCTACTTGTCTAGCTTGGTGTGTCAGGACAGGCTGCCCAGGTGAGAGGGATGTGGGCATTGTAGGAGAGTGAGCAAAAGCAGGTGGATGCAGACCCAAGAGTTCAGTGTAATAGGAGTACAGAATGCTGGGAATGTGGAGTCTCAAGAAAGGCAGGACTGATTTAGAGGAATGGATAACTTAAGCCATGGTTAAAAGTTTATGGATTGAAGAAGGCAAATCTGTTTGATGTAATCCTGATGTTTTTACTAGTATCGAAAACACTGAAATCTGTTTTTACTTACTTATTAATTTTTCTGTAGGATAAATTCCAGTTTACTAACTGGTATTTTCTTCTTTAAAGAAAAGGGTTGTTGTTACCAACCTGAATGGTCACACTGCCCGAGTCAATTGCATACAGTGGATTTGTAAACAGGATGGCTGTAAGTATTAACCAGATTGTTAAAGTTGATCTCAATTGCTTTCTGATAAAGTATGGTTAGCTATTTTTTTCTCATCACTTCTCTTAATTTAGCATCACCTTATATGATGTTATACAATCGGAGAAACAGAAGAAAAATGGTATTCTCAGTGAGAAATCTGAACTGTATTTTTACTTCGTAGCAGTTGAAGCTTGGATTATACAGCAGTGCTTAGGATGAGGGTAGTGCAGCCCTAGACTTGGGCAGGATCCCGTCCCACTTCCCCAGTTGCCCATAACCTTTGTTAAAAATCTTGTAAGCAGTGCCTAGACTGAGGCTATGTTTCAGAGACTTGGTTTCTTGGTCTGTTTGTGCCATAAACAAGCTATTGCTTTTTCTTTTTATTCTTTTTTCTTTTATTTATGTAAAATTTTAGATTTTTTTTTTGCCAGCTGGTTGGAGACGAGAATATTTATTTTTTTTAGAGATAGGATCTCACTTGTTGCCCAAGCTGGAATGCAGTGGCTCCATCAGAGTTCCCTGCAATAGCTGGGACCACAAGTGTGTGGCACCATACCTCTCTAGGTTTTTAGTTTTTTTTTTTTTTGAGATGAAGTCTCACTCTGTCCCCCAGGCTAGAGTGCAGTGGCGCGATCTCGGCTAACTGCAAGCTCCACCTTCCGGGTTCACACCATTCTCCCTCCTTGCTGTGTAGCCCAGGCTTTTCTCATACCCCTAACCTCAAGCAGTCTTCCCTCCTTAGCCTCCCAAAGTGCTGGGATTATAGGATAAGCTACTATACCCGGCCAGCTATTGCTTTTTTAGGCAAGACATTACATCTCTACTGACCCTAGTTTGCACCTTAATAACATCTGAAAAGTAAAAGATCAGACTAGATGAAGAGTGTCTTAGAGGTTTGTAAGACCTATGAGATCAAATTATTTTCATAATGATATCAAGGAGTTATTCACAGTATTCATTCTTATTCTGTCATGAATGTACAGTGTTTTCCAGCAGCCACATGATGTATGATACTGCAGCAGATTAAATACAGAAGCAGATAGGAAAATCCAGCTATATTCTAATAAAATCATATGTTAAAGAGATTTGTAGGAGTGTAAAATAGTTCCTCTCTTTCATTAAGTTTTTGTTTTGGAAACCATTGGGATTTTTCCCTATCAAAATGTTATATATGTTCACACATCATGGAACCCTAAGTAAATGGTTAAATACATATTTTTCATATTTCTCAGTTTTAATTTCTAATGTGGTTAATATTGGTACATATGGTTCATATAATCAAAAGCTTTTTGGGGTCCTCAAAAATTGTAAGACTGTAAAGGAATTCTAAGACCAACAGTTTTGAAAATTTCTGGGCAAGATTATCTCCAGGTCTCTTCCCTCTCTTAAGATTCTGACTCCAGAATTTTCAGTTAAAATATTGGTTGCCTTTAGATGGTGCTGTCAAAATCCTATGATATTTCTTTAGTTGCTTTAAATATACCTACTGCAGTGTAGTTATGGGTTCTGAATTAGTTTTATTTTTCATTCCACACTCATTTGAGGGCATTTTGAGCCAGGCATAAGTACAAAATTTTCTGAATTATTAAGACTTTGCTATGATTTTATAAATGATGTTTAAAAAAGTTTAATAAGCTAGTTATTGCATTTGGTTCTGTAGGATTAGTCACGTGTTAGGTCAATAAAAATCATTAAATGGTACAAGGGATGACTGTTAGTGTGGATAATAAAACATAATTGCAATTATATTAATTGCCACCAGATAACATCAAAGACTGACTCTCAGAATAGGAATTTGTTATAAAATATTAATTTAGGCTTGTATGTTTTATCTTCCTTTTAAAAGTGAGGTTACATAAAATGAATTGCTTGTGTATTACTGTAATCTATAACTATTATGATTGATTTGCTTTAATTGAACTGTCAGATAATGCAGATAGCCTTTCCAACCATTTGTCAGTGATATATAAAATTTTAATATCATTTTGTATTTTTAATATGTCTGAATTTTAACATTACTTTTATGTATAGACATTCTTAAAATCATATAGTTAGTTAAGTGGCTTAATTACTGTGACGCATGAAGTTGAGGCCCATGATCACAGTTGGCTGGCAGCAGAGTTAGGACATGAACCTGGGCCTTCTGAGTTCAAATCTAATGCTCTGTAGTCCAGCTGCTTCCCTGAAACAAATAAAAAGAAAATCCAAACCCAAATTAGGTTATTTACCCCTTTTTTTGGGTACTACTTTTTCTTCTGTTATCACTGAGAAGTTGCAAGTGTTTAAAAGATCTATTTTGAAGTAGGTCTCTAATTTCAACAATAAGTCATATTCTTGGTAGTGGCACCTAACTACAATGTTTCATATAATGTGTCTGCCAAGAATGTTTAGCCTGTATCTAATCATGAGGAAACAATCAAACAGATTGAGGGACATTCTGCAAAATAACTGCTGGCTACTATCATTGTCACAAAAATGAGGGGGACTAGGAAACTATTCTAGATTAAAGGAGACTAAAAAGGTGTGATATCCAAACATTCAGTGTATTTCTTTAGATTCTGAGTCCCAAACAAAAATAGTTTTGAAAGGCATTCCTGAGACAATTAGGACATTTTAATATGGACAGTATATTATATAATAATACTTATCAATGTTATAATTTTTGACTGTGATAATTGTATTGAGATAATATAGGAGAATATTTTTGTCCTTAGGAGATGTGTGGTCTTTGAGGATCAGAGATCACAGTGTCTGCCACTTACTTTTAAGTAGTTTGCCTCCTAAAAAGTGTGTATGTGTACGTATATAGAGGAAGAGTGAGATATTAAGCAAATATGGCAAAATGTTACCAGTTTGTGAATCTAGGTAGAGGGTACAGGGGTATTGTTTTTTGGTGTAGCTTGGAAATTTTAAAAAATTGCAGAAAAAATGAATAAAGATATTTACTGAGATATAAATTTTTTCAGCCCCTTCTACTGAATTAGTTTCTGGAGGATCTGATAATCAAGTGATTCACTGGGAAATAGAGGATAATCAGGTGGGTAGACATGTTTATAATCATAAGAAATGACTTTTTTTGTTTGTTTGTTTTTGAAGAGGTAGAGTCTCACTCTGTCACCCAGGCTGACGTGCAGTTGTGCAATCGTAGCTCACCTCAGCCTGCTAAGTAGCTGGGACTACAGGTGCCTGACACCATGCCTGGCTGATTTTTGCGTGTGTGTGTTTTTTTTGTTTTTTGTTTTGTAGAGATGGGGTCTTACTTTGTTGCCCAGGCTGGTCTCAGAAGTGACTTTTATGTTTACTTTTATTTTTAATTTTTTTCTTCAACTGTGTTGTTCTTTTATGAAGTTAATCTTGCTCATCAGCAACACAAATGCTGTGTCTTTTGTACTACACAGGCCCCGTACCCTTTGCTCTGATTTCTACTCCCATATTTGTATGCTGTTAACTGTCTCTGTGAATTTCCTGTCATTTTGGAATAATTTTCAAACTATTCTTACTTGGGCTGATCTGTTTTCAATGCTTGTGGCATACGAATATAGATTTACAAGACTCTCCTCAGTGCCACCCCACCCTTCTGTCTTGTTATGTTTTTAAAAATTCTCTGATTAAGCTATAACTGTGCTTAAAGATGTGAAATGAGTATTTTCAATAGATTTAATTTTTTTAGGGGGTAATGTCAGACTTGTTTAAAAAAAAAGATTATAAATACGAAAAGTATAAAGAAGGAAAAACCTATACAAAATCTGAGCAGAGTGAACTTTCTGAAGAATGTCATTCCACGTCTCTAGTTATATGTGTATAATTATGCATAACAGAAATTATATTGTATCCGAGGATTTTTTAAGCGTTTTTGAGGTGAGATCTGGCTGTGTTGCCCAGGCTGGAGTGCAGTGGCTGTTCATAAGTAATATGATAGTGCACTATAGCCAAGGACTCCTGGACTCAGGTGATACTCCTACCTCAGCCTCCCAAGTAACTGGGACTGCTGGCACACAGCACTGCACCTGGCTTAAGTGTTTTTTCCAAGAAGTCAAAGGCTAATCATTCTAAAGAAAGTTAGTGTACAGACCCTTATACATGAGTATTATGTGCACCTTCTTTAGTGGCAGAATTCTGTTTTAAGTATTATAATTGGAAAAACAAATGAGGAGACATTTAAGGAACACCACTATTTCAGCAGACAGTTTATAGAAGATACCTTTTGAAAGAAGTGGTGGAATGTCACACATTTGAAACTTAAAAAAAGATGAACCCAAAACATCAGTAGAAGGGATGCCAGAGGGAATAATCTTGATGGCAAGTAGATAGACTTGTTAAGCAAATGGGATTTCCCACTTCTCTTTGCTTTTTTTCTGTTTTGCAGTCCTACTTGAATTAGGCAAGTATCATGAGTAGATGCTAAAAGTACTTAGTACAAGTTTGATGGGGAATAGAATGTTTACTCAATGCCAAAGTATACTCATATTATCACCAAAAAAAAAAAAAAAAAAATTAACATCACAGTGAAGAAAACTGGCAGACAATACTTCTACTAAATATGAAAGTTAACTTCACTAAAACTTGGACAGACTAAAACCATGTGCCTCCTGATGGGATGTGCTTATGTAGTAATGCTGTCAAAATGTATATTCTGAGTCTCTTCATAATGAAAATCACATAATCCAAAAAGAGGAACATTCCACAAAGTTGACCTATATTCTTCAGAATACCTATTATCTTCTCAGAGTAGATTCCTAGATATGAGATTGCTGTGTCACAGGGTATTTACATTTTGTGTGTTGTTAACATGGTCAGACAGACTTCTTGAAAAGTTTTATTCTTTTCAACTTAGAGGACCTATTTTTGGCTCAGCCGTTTTATTGGCATCTTTATCCAATTAAATAAAGGTTAAAAAAAAATCCTTTTTTTTTTTTTTTCACAACGCTTCTGTCATTCTCTCTGATTCAGCTTTTAAAAGCAGTCCATCTTCAAGGCCATGAAGGACCTGTTTATGCGGTGCATGCTGTTTACCAGAGGAGGACATCAGATCCTGCATTATGTACACTGATCGTTTCTGCAGCTGCAGATTCTGCTGTTCGACTTTGGTCTAAAAAGGGTTCAGAAGGTAGGTTTGGAGACATGATAATCCAGACAAACGAAATAATATTTAACAAATGAATGACGAGCAGAAGAGCATATATATATATTTTTAAAACTTTCAAGCAACTTTAAAAATACTATAATTCTAATCTAAATTTTTCTTTTGCACTTATTTAAAATTCTCTATACCATAACTTTTTCATGTAAGTCATTTTGCTCTCTGTAACATCGTTAAAATTTGGCCATTTAACTTCACATGGTCAGTGGGGGCTCAGGATTGACTTCTCTCATCTCCCTTCTGCTACCTGGGGCTGTGATGATGCTATCCAACCTGTCTAGTTGGATAAGCTCTGAGGTAGTTGTTCATTGTGTTTTTTATTATTTCTTAGTAACGTGCCTTCAGACGTTAAACTTTGGAAATGGATTTGCTCTGGCTCTCTGCTTGTCTTTTTTGCCAAATACTGATGGTGAGTATCCTGTTAAGTATATATTAAAAGAGCAGTATATTTGCATATTGTCATATGATTAGAACCTAAAAGAAATGTATTGGGTCTTAATTTTGTATCTAAATGTTTCTGTGAAACAAGATGTGAATAACATACTTTTATCATAATATTCAAGTGATCTGAGTATAGAACATAAAGTTAAGGGCTTATTAGGATTTTGATAGCTATTGATAATTTAAGTGACTTACTATATACTTAAGAGTGATACTGTTAGTTATCAAATATACTGTGGATGTGTATGGATCTATGGACATGTATGGAATGAGAGGAAAGTATCTCATTCTTTAGAAGGTGAAGGTCTGGGGTAAGTTGAAAAAGTGTTGAATGAAGGTGGCATATGAGCATTTCTCTCAGAATGATGGCCCCTTCACATCCCGCATAATGACATTTTGCCCAAGACCACTTAAAATCTGCAAACAGAAAAATTTCCCTTTTGCTGTGAAACCTATCTGTACTTATCTTTGAGTATCTTCTACAAAGATAATAGCCAGTGTGAGTGAGTCAGCCTCTTTGCCTCCACAGTTACCTGGAAGACAGGCCAGGTGAAGAGAGGCAGGGCCTGGAAACCACCAGCCTCTCTCGCCCTCTGTAGCAGGAGCTGCAACTCCATGGTTTCATGTTATGTTCCATTTTGTGCAAGGCTCTGTAGAAGGGGAAGCTGCACACATTCTGGCATCATAACAGAATTTCATTTCTTCCATCTGCATTCAGGCCAAGTAACTGGAGTTTTGTTTTTATTGTTTTTCTTTTTCTTTTTTTTGTAGTTGATCTAAAGTAAGAAAATCTTTGAAAAACACACTTGGTGGCAAGGCATGTCCTTAGAGAAAGTCCCTACTATATCTAGCAGAATCATCAGGGCTGCCCTTTGGCAATGCAAATTATTAATGATTTTTTATCTTATTAAAATAATTTAACAGTCACATCTTTCATAGCTTTTTAAAATTTTTAAATTTAAAATTTATTTATTTTTTAGAGATAAGGTCTCATTTTGTCACTCAGGCTTGAGTGCAGTGGTGATCTATAGCTCACTGCAGCCTCAAACTCCTAGGCTCAGGTGATTTTCCCACCTCAGCCAAGTAGCTGGGACTACAAGCATGCTCCACTATACCCAGCTAATTTTTTTATTCTTGTAGAGACAGGGTCTGTTTATGTTGCCCAGTCTGGTCTTGGACTCCTGGCTTCAAGTGGTTCTCCTGTCTCAGCCTCCCAAAGTGCTGGGATCACAGACATGAAACACTGCGTCTGGATCCCCTTGCATAGCTTTTTAAATTTTTTATTTTATTTTTTTGACACAGGGTCTCATTCTGTTGCTCAGGTTGGAGTGCAGTGGTGCCATCACAGCTCACCTCAACCCCCTGAGTAGCTGGGACTCCAAGCACATGCCACCATGCCTGGCTAATTGCCTTGTATAGCTTTTTAGCCACATGCTTAATTACGTGCTCTTTTATTTATTTTTATTTTTATTTCTATTTTTTGGGATGGAGTCTTGCTCCATTGCCCAGGCTGGAGTGCAGTGGTGTGATCTCGGCTCACTGCAATCTCTGCCTCCTGGGTTTAAGTAATTTTCCTGCTTCAGCCTCCCGAGTAACTGGGATTACAGGCATATGCCACCACGCCCAGATAATTTTTGTATTTTTGGTAGAGACGGTTTTGTCATGTTGGCCAGGCTGGTCTCAAATTCCTGACCTCAGGTGATCCGCCCACCTCAGCCTCCCAAAGGATCACGCCCTAGGATTACAGGCATGAGCGACTGCACCCAGCCTTTTATTTTGTTTTAAACAAAGTAAAACATAACATTTATTTTGTTTTAAACAAAATAAAACATAATTCAAACAAAACATAAGGTCCTCAAATTAACAAACATACCCTTAAATCTGTGTGCATTAGCCATGATGCTAGGGCTCATAGTAGCTGTTCATTATTTAGTTGTCTTAACAACCTTTCCTCTTGGTCTTCGGGCTGACATGGTGAAAATACTCTCTAGTTGCTCTCGAGCGTAATTTTCACTTCTATCATAAATGTCATAGAATGGAGAGAAGGACTGGATTCTTATTTAATAGTCATTATAATTACCAAGTAACCACTGAATAGATAATTTTAGAGTGTTCATTTTATTCCTGCAGACATTTATTGAGCATTTTCAATTATTCATATAGTGGTGTGGGAAATTGAAGTCAGGATTCTTTACCTAGAGCTTACAATCCAGTACAGTTGATAATCATAACATGTAGTGGAATAGGGAACTCACAGTGAAGCCTGTTTTTTTTTTCCCCAGTACCAATATTAGCATGTGGCGATGATGATTGCAGAATTCACTTATTTGCTCAACAAAATGATCAGGTAATAATGTTTATTAAGAGGCTAGAATTATATTCTGCTTAGTTATATCTCAATACGGACTATATCCAGATTATAGAATTTTAGAGAATGTTCTAATCTAAACCAAAATAATCCAATAGAATCTTTTTTTGATAGTCCTCTGTTAAGATGGTTGTCTACTCTGAACACCAAGTAACCACTGCCTTGATCATCAGGCTCAGAGTTGTTAGGGGGAAACAGGTCATTAGGTAGGGGAGGAGAGATGGAAGATGCTGTGGTAGTTGTTTTTCTCTTAAAAATTTAAACAAGATACAACATACGTACAGTGAAGCATTCCTAGAAGTATTTATTTGCCCTTCTGAGCTTTACTTAGATTTTAAGTAATTAAACTAAAGGAGAGAAATTGAGAAAGGGATTGGTTAACTCTAAACTCATTTATTTAATAGTGAGGATACTTGTTTCTTTGCATTCTATAAGAAGGTTAAAAATGGTTGTGAAAGTTCAGCTATTCAACTTTTTTTTTTTTTTTTTTTTTTGAGACAGAGTCTTGTTCTGTCTCCTGAGCTGGTGCAGTGGTGAGAACATGCGTCACTGTAATCTTGACTTCCTAGGCTCAAGCAATCCTCCTGCCTCAGCCTCCTGTGTAGTTGAGACCACAGGCATGTATCACCATGCCTGGCTAATTTTAAAATTTTTTGTAGACACAGGGTCTCACTTTATTGCCCAGGCTGGTCTCAGTCTCCTGGCCTCAAGTGATAGTCCCACCTCCTCAGCCTCCCAAGGTATTAGGATTATAGATGTGAGCCACTGCCCAACCCACCTGTTTTTCTATATTATATCTACAGTATGTATCATTTTATATCATAAACATTTAAAATATTTGAGATTACAAATATTATATTATCTACTCAGAGGTGCTCCAGTTAGTGATTTAGATATCATGTTACGGGTTTTTCATTCCCAAAGGAATGCTTTTTCCTGTCTAATCAAATAGTGTTCTCAGTGAAAGAGCAATGCAGTAGGATTGTCTGAGACCAAATGATGTCACTGGTATACATGAAGATGTTAAATTCTTATATCAAGCCCAATGATTTTTATCTTACTAGTTTCAGAAAGTGCTTTCTCTCTGTGGACATGAGGATTGGATTAGAGGAGTGGAATGGGCAGCCTTTGGTCAGTATGAAATTTTGCTAATGCACATACAGTGGGAACAAGTATGTGTTACTTCCAATAAAGCAGCATTTTATGTTTTAATTTTTAAGTTTTCTTTGTATGTTATGTTTTTCTATTGTCCCAATTAGAAAGGAGGATGCTTATCCCTTCTGTTAATTGTTAGTTGGGTGGTAGATGATTAAATAAATTGATATTTATTAGATGACACTAGCTGTCTTGTTCACCTGCAGACCTTCTTGAAAAGTTTTTGTAGAACTTAGTAGACTATATATGAGTATTACATGTTATAAATATGTACTAGCATTGTATGCATATTTCTCAATGTTACTAAAAATGAATATAGATCAAATGAATTGGAGGGTAAGGAAACAAAGTGTTTTTTTGGGGAAATTTAGAAATATATATATTATAGAGAAAAAAGTCTTATACATAAACTTCACAATATGTTTTAAAATTAATATTTAATATTATTTTTTAATTAGGTAGAGATCTTTTCCTAGCAAGCTGTTCACAAGATTGCCTAATAAGAATATGGAAGCTGTATATAAAGTCAGCATCTTCAGAAACTCAGGATGCCAATAACATAAGACTGAAAGAAAATACTTTTACCATAGAAAATGAAAGTGAGTAATAATGAAAATATCTGATAGAACAATACTTAGGTCTCCTAGTTGGTTGATTTTTTTTTTTCACCACCCACCTATGTGAAGGTTAGTTTTTCACAAGTGTTAGATTCCTAGATTCCTACTTCTTTTTTCTTTCTTTCTTTTTTTTTTTTTTGAGACAGAGTTTCGCTTCTTCCCCTAGGCTGGAGTGCGGTGGCGTGATCTTGGCTCACTGCGACCTCTGCCTCCCGGGTTTGAGCAATTCTCCTGCCTCAGCCTCCCAGATAGCTGGGATTACAGGCACGCATCACCATGCCTAGCTAATTTTATTGTATTTTTAGTAGAAATGGGGTTTCACCATGTTAGCCAGTCTGGTCTTGAACTTCTGACCTCAGGTGATCTGCCTGCCTCAGCCTCCCAAAGTGCTGGGATTACAGGTGTGAGCCGCTGTGCCTGACCTCTTTTTGTTTTTTTTTGAGACATCTTACCCAGGCTGGAGTGCAGTGGCATAATCACAGCTCACTGCAGCCTTGAACTCCTTAGCTCAAATGGCTTAGCTTCCTGAGTAGCGAGGACTACGCCATCACACCCAGCTAATTTTTAATTTTTTTTGTAGTGATGGAGTCTTGCTATGTTGCCCAGGCTGTTTTTCAACTACTGGCCTCAAATGATCCTTCCACCTTGGTGTCCTAAAGTGTTGGGATTACAGTTGTGGGCCACCATTCTTGGCGTGATACTTTGTATTTTCCCATTTTTATGTGAGAGTGAGTCATTTTTCATATGTGAAATAGTTTTCTTCTAAACCATATTAGTAAGATTTTTTAAGTTGCTGAGAATAATGTTTAGTGCTTCTCAATAATTTGTAAAATATTACTAGATTTGCAGTTTTAGCATAGGAAGACCTAAAGGAATAATGTAAATTACTTATACATTTTATTGGCCTATAATAAAAGACAAGCTAAATCTCACCATTTGAGTAGTATATTTAATTCTGATTTTCCTGTTGTCTAGCCTTAGAACAGTATCCCTGCATGGTAGATGCTGTTGGGATGTTGTTTTTGAAAGAGATGTTTTTGGATGTGTCAGTTATAAAGGTAGTTCTCAGCATTGTTCACCTAGGTGTATTCTGTTTTTTGTTACTACTCTTGGTTGTAAAGTCCATCAGAGTTGAGATTTTAGTGACAGTTTTATGGGGAGAATGAAGAAATTATATAACCAGCATATTAGGAGTAGCTATACCCAAATATTAATTTTTTTCTATTTTCATTATATTGTTTGAAAGGTCAAAATACTGGTTTCATTTTCTTTATTTCTGCATTTATCCTTTAAAAAAATGGAATTTGTAGTTGTCCATTCTTATGCTTCTATAAAGAACTTCCCAAGACTGGGTAATTTGTAACAGAAAGAGGTTTGCTTGACTCACAGTTCTGCAAAGCTGAGGAGGCTTCAGGAAACAAATTCATAGCAGAAGGGGAAGCAGGCATCTTCTTCACAGGGCATCTCCCACCAGATCCTTTCCTTGACAGGTGGGTCTTGGGGGGATTACAATTCAAGATGAGATTTAGGTGAGGACACAGAGCCAAACCATATCAGTATTTTAGGCTATTATATTCTTATAGTGAGTGAGGATAATAAGGAGGCTGGCATGACTTTTTTTTTCCTCATGGTAGTTTAACAGTGGCTGTCTCAGAAAATTGTAAAAACAGAAGATTTTTCTTCATATTTATTTATAACCAGCTAGAACAAAATATAAGGAAAAATATCTAACTTTTTCTCCTATAATTTTGAACAGCAGTTGAGGTTAAAGAAATTTAGAATGCATGTTCTTTTTTTGAATCCTAACTATCATATTTTGTCCTAATTTTTTTTTTACATAATTGCCCAACTGGCTTGGTTATGGAAATTTTCTTTGTAGAAGAACTTTGAGGAAATAATACCTTCATTGCTTTTGTTATAGGTGTTAAAATAGCATTTGCTGTTACTCTGGAGACAGTGCTGGCTGGTCATGAAAACTGGGTAAATGCAGTTCACTGGCAACCTGTGTTTTACAAAGGTAGGAAGAAAACCATACACATATTCCTTACTCCAGTTAGATCTTATGGCATGGCAAGCTGACCAAATCAAGTGTAAATTGTTTTAGTGTGATTAGAAATCTCAAATACAAGACATTTTCAAGTTGAGAAAGTGTAGTACTGCATTCCTGGTGTGCTAGACCCTCAATTCCATTGAACATTGAACTCCTAAGTGGGAAAAGTGTGATTCCTGCCATGATGCTGAGACTACCACACCCCCATTAACTTTTTATCTTAAAAGTTTCCACTTGATTATTATGGAATTTAAGAAAAACTGACTTTCAGGCCAACTTCACTGGATCCTTTACCCTCGGTAATAACAAAGTTGGTACCACTGAGATACATTATTTATGAGAAAGTAAGACTCTGTTACTGCTTCTTTCTTTTGCCGTTTATCTCCATTTATGAAGTGGCAGTTCTGTGCGTGTTCAGGCTGGTGCTAGGTTTATAGCTACGTGAGGCATAGCCTCACATTCTTCCCTGGCCTCTTCCCCAAGGCAGTAACAGCAATAATTAATTCTTAGGCAAACCACCATTCAGCTTTTCCTTACATTATGCCATGTTTGCTATAATTTAAAAAACAAAAAAGTTGGAATTATAGATATTGAAGACCCCTGTCGTATGTTCTTTCCTGAACATTTCCTCTTCATCCTTCTCTAGAGGCAATTACAGTACTGAATTCAGTGCATATCATTTTCATGCATGTTTTTATGCTGTTGCTACATATCTATATAGCTATAAACAATATTGTTTTATAGCTATTGAAATGATACCAATATGTATTTATTCTTTTACAGCTTGCCTTTTTAGCTTACCATGTTTTGGAGCTGTATCCACGTTGATTTGTGAAGCTCTAGTTATTTGTTTTTATTGCACGGTAGTAGTCTATTGTCTGAATATCCTACAACCAATTTATCTCTTCTTCCAATGGTAGACATTTGTGGTGTTTGCAACTTTTTGCAATTACAAATAATGCTGCAGTGAACATCCTTGCAGTACCCATGTTGTTTGTTGTGTTTTTCTGGTCATCTACAAACATGATGCTTGTTGATCACCTAAAGGGATTAGGTTTTATTTTTTAGATGGTGTTCTACAGCAGCCAATGAGATTATTATCTGCTTCCATGGATAAAACCATGATTCTCTGGGCTCCAGATGAAGACTCAGGAGTTTGGCTAGAACAGGTAAGAGTGTTGGATATTTAAGGAACAGAAAATTAAGTTTTGAACTCTGTATTTAAATCCTAAGTCTATATTGATACACCTGCAGATTTTCACTGTGTACATTAAAATAGTGGGAATTTAACAGTCTCTGGAATCAGTGGTTTCTGTTGTGAGAAATGTAGACTATTGATTAAGAATTGTTTTCTGTCTGTTATTGTACAGGTTCGAGTAGGTGAAGTAGGTGGGAATACTTTGGGATTTTATGATTGCCAGTTCAATGAAGATGGCTCCATGATCATTGCTCATGCTTTCCACGGAGCGTTGCACCTTTGGAAACAGAATACAGTTAACCCAGTAAGAAAAGAGTGTTTAAATAAAGCATTTCTAATCAAATAGAACGCATCCTAAGTAAATAGTATTTTACTTATAACAGTCTACAGAAACATAGTAGAGGCACTTTAAGTTCAAGTGACACAACTTTTTTCTGTAGACATTGTTAAGGTATTGAAATTTGCATGTAGGTAAATTTTCTACATAAGTGTACTGTATTCCTTTAAGCTATATAATTTTTTAATGAGAATTTTTCTGAAATGTGTAACTTTCCTGTCTTCTTAAAAAGTTAACATAATTGGATATCTTGTTGGACTGCCAGATCCCTATTATTGAATGAATGTCAGTAATTTATTGTGACTGACATTCAACACCTGGGCATGGTAGCTCATGCCTGTAATCTTAGAAACTTGAAAGGCTGAGATGAAGGATTGCTTGAAGCTAGGAGTTTCAGAACAGCCTTGGTGACAGAATAAGACCCTGTCTCCAAAAAAAAAACCAAAAAACAAAAAAAACAAAGAGGTAGTCTTCTCCCTTTAGTCATGTAACTGTCTCTCTACAGCATTCCTTCTCTTACTTTGTAATCTCATTTGCTTCTGATCTGCTTCTAGTTTGGGAAGATTAGATAGCAAAAACAGAGTGGCCAAGAGCACAGGCCCTTGGAGCTAGACAGCCTGGGTTCACTTACTAGCTATGTGTCCTTGAAGACATTAGTTAATCCCTATCTCAGGTTCCTCATTTGTAAAATATGGGTAGTTTTTTTTTTTTTTTAAACAGGATCTCACTGTCACTCTGTGTGATCATAGCTCACTGTAACCTCATTTTCCTGGGGTTAAGCCATCCTCACACTTCAACTTCCTGAGTAGCCGGGACTATAGGTGCACATCAGACCCAGCTAATATTTAAAAAATTTTTATAGACACAGGGTCTTGCTTTGTTGCCCAGCCTGGTCCTGAACTCCTGGCTTGAAGTGATCCTCCCACCTCAGTCTCCCAAAGTGCTGGGATTGCAGGTGTGAGCCACTGCATCTGGCATGTGGATTGTTAATAGCATCTACTTACAGGGTGTTTTTTTGTTTTTTGTTTTTTGAGATGGAGTTTCGCTCTTCTTGCCCAGGTTGGAGTGCAATGGCGTGATCTCGGTTCATTGCAACTTCCGCCTCCCAGGTTCAAGCGATTCTTCTGCCTCAGCCTCCTGAGTAGCTGGGATTACAGGCGCCTACCACCATGCCTGGCTAATTTTGTATTTTTAGTAGAGATGGAGTTTCACCATGTTGGCCTGCCTGGTCTCGAACTCCTGACCTCAGGTGATTCACCCAGCTTGGCCTCCCAAAGTGCTGGGATTACAAGTATGAGCCACCGCACCCGGCCTGCTGGCAGGGTTTAAAGGCTTAAATGAGTTAACTTTTATATGATATGCAAAACAAGGCCTGGCACATACTGGATGCTCTATAAGTGTGTTTTATTTTATTATTGTTTTTAATTAACATCTACTGGTTTTTTATAAAGGATATTGCAAAGGAAACAGAGGAAGAGATATGTAGGGTGAGGTACGGGAGAAGGGGTGCCAAGCTTCCATGCCCTCCCTGGCCGTGCTGCCCTCCAGGAACCTCCATGTGCTTAGCTATTCGGAAGCTCCCTGAACTGTGTCCTCTTTGGTTTTATGGCAGCTTCATGACATCAGCATTTTTTCTCCCAGAGTGGAACCCTCTCATGATCGGGTTTAAGACACAAAATCAAACAGGTGGGGAAGATTAGAGGCCTGACCCTGAAGCCTAACATACCCAATATTGTAACTGAAGACTGTAACAAGGGCTATGGGAGTTTCGAGCCAGGAACTTTTATCAGAGAAAACCAGTGTATGTAACACCTCAGGCCATGGATCCCTCAGGCCAGGGATCCTTCACATCAAAAAATACAGGCTGGGTGTGGTGGCTCATGCTAGTAATCCCAGCACTTTGGGAGGCCAAGGCGGGAGGATTACTTGAGCCCAGGAGCTTGAGACCAGTCTGGGCAACATAGGGAGACCCTGTCTGTACAAATAATTTTAAAAATTAGCCATGGGCATGCAGCCCTGGGCATCGTTGCAGGCGCCTGTGGTCACAGCTACTTGGGAGGCTGACGCAGGAGGATTGTGTGAGCCTGGGAAGTTGAGGCTGCAGTGAGCCATGGTTATGCTACTGCATTCCAGCCTGGGTGATAGAGCAAGACCCTGTCTCAAAAAAAAAAAAATGTGTACACGCACAGTCCAGTCCCTCATACTGTATGAATGTCTCCCAGGATGAGACCACTCAGGTTTGCAGATTTCCTTCAATCTTGTCAGGTTTCAGAAGGAGTAGCCTCAGTAAATATTGTATACAACTTTACTCGTTAAGGTATCTGGGATAATTGAGCTAAGACACAATGTCATCTCTTGCTCTGAGACTCTTGTAAGTTGTTAATGTGATACTGAATTTTCCTCAATGACCCATTTATTCATTTCTTTACTCTCAGCTACTATTTCTCCTTCTCTCCATTAATACCCACATTTAATTTTCCTTTAAAGGTTAAGTTTTAGTCCCTCTTGAGGTTGTTCAAAAAGATGCTCTGTGGATCAGGCATATGACTTTTTCTATATTTTGTTGTCATTATTTGTTTATATGGTTATTGTTGCAGGCTTCTTAATAGGTGGACCAACTAGGTTTGATTCATTTTTCTGTCCTCTACACCTGTAACTCTTTTTACTTAATAAAGCCATCAGGCCCCCATGCAGAAGCCACTGACTCGTTTTACACAATATTTTTACATTTTATACAATTTTTATTTAGTTTAATAAATACATAGAACCTAGTATGTACTAGAATTGTCCTGTGTACTTTACAAATGTAACTCATTTAATCCTCATAATAACCCTAGAAGGTAAGTGTTATTATAATAACTGTTTTAATCTATAATTGAGACACAGAAAGGTTAAGTAGTATCTGGCTGCTCAATAAATGATGAATGGAGGGAAATTTCCCACAGTTACTGATTTAAAGGATACAACACGTATCTGAATGCTTAAGCATTCGAATGGATGCTGTGGAAAATGGATCCTGTTATTCTGTGGTGCGATCTTGTATACTTAGCTTTTCACCTTGCCAGAGGGCTTTAGTCTTCTCTGTTATCAGACATGAGTGCTTTACTGTGGTGGTAGTCTTTGCGTATTTTGATATGTGTCATGAGCACTTTCATTGCAGAGAGAGTGGACTCCAGAGATTGTCATTTCCGGACACTTTGATGGTGTCCAAGACCTAGTCTGGGATCCAGAAGGGGAATTTATTATCACTGTTGGTACTGATCAGACAACTAGACTTTTTGCTCCATGGAAGAGAAAAGACCAATCACAGGTAAAATGTCTTATTTATTTATTTATTTTTTTCTTGGGATGGAGTTTCACGTCACCCAGGCTGCAGTGCAATGGCATGATCTCAGCTCACTGCAGCCTCTACCTCCCAGGTTCAAGCGATTCTCCTGTCTCAGCCATCTGAGTAGCTGGGATTATAGGTGCCCACCACCACACCCACCTACTTTTTGTATTTTTAGTAGAGACAGGGTTTTACCATGTTGGCCAGACAGGTCTCGAACTCCTGACCTCAGGTGATCCACCCCCCTCATTCTCCCAGAGTGCTGAGTTACAGACATGAGCCACCGCAGCTGGTCTCTTCTTATTTTACTAAATGTATTTAAAAGAAAACATCCATGAACACAAGAAAGGTAGGGCAGCCATGCTAGCCATTAGGAAAATGCAAATTAGAACCATGATGAGATACCACTACATACCCTCTTGAATAGCTAAAGTAAAAAATATATTAACAGGTGCTGGTAAGGATGCAGAGCAACTGGAACTTTCATACATTGCTACTGGGGATGCAGAATGATACAGCCACTCTGGAAAACAGTTGGACATTTTATTTTTTATTTTTTGTAGAGACAGGATCTTGTTATGTTCCTCAGGCTGGCCTTGAACTCCGGGCCTCAGGTGATCCTCCTGCCTCAGCCTCCCAAGTAACTAAGACTACATATGTGAGCCACCGTGCCCAGCTAATTTTTAGATTTTTTGTAGAGACAGGGTCTTGCTCTGTTGCCCAGTTTCGTTATGTCTTGTAATTTTAGGTTTAATTCATTAGGAAGCATTATCAAGTGTACAATAAAAGCCTGAAGTCATATAGTGTTAGATAATAGTAGTGAGGGCAGTTCTTGTTTAAGGAAATTTTCACTGTGTTAGGCAACTAGAATAAAACAAAATGTAAAAGATGGATCCTGTTTTCAAGGAGTTTACCATCTAGCTATAGGGTAGGGCTATAGGTAGGGGGCAGTGGAACTAATGTTTCTGTAATTATTGGATGAAACCAGTTAATTGCTAACTGTTGGCCCTGAGCTCAAACAATTGTAAAACTTCACTACTGGTAAACTTTGAACTGCTTTGTGGTAGAGAAAATCAGGATCCTCTGCTTCAGTTTCTGACAGAAATTCATGGAACTGACCATGGGTCAGTCCGTAAGAGCTAAGGAAGTTTGCCACTAACACTACTGCTTCAGTAACACATGGCAGATTCAAATAAACAGAGTTGAGAACTTTGGGAACAGCATCTATAGTCAATTGAAAAACAAGTCAAATGATTTTGAGTGATTTTCTGTGGCTCTTGGTAATTGTTACCAATACTGCCCAGTTGTGGTTTATTCATGGATGAATTTGCCCTATGGTTATATTTCCATTGTATAGTAAATAATTTTCATCTAATAATTTGCTTGTTGAAAATTCAGCTTTGGAATGATCATTTTTGTTTATCCTGTTTTACCCAGGTGACTTGGCATGAAATTGCAAGGCCTCAGATACATGGGTATGACCTGAAATGTTTGGCAATGATTAATCGGTTTCAGTTTGTATCTGGAGCAGATGAAAAAGTTCTTCGAGTTTTTTCTGCACCTCGGAATTTTGTGGAAAATTTTTGTGCCATTACAGGAAAATCACTGAATCATGTGCTTTGTAACGTGAGTATTTCTCTAAATATTTTACCTAAATCTAGTCCCTTCATTTTAAATTTAAAAAGATTTTTGCCTTGGGCTTTAAATGGAATATATAGGTAGAAGGAAAGTAATATTGTTTCTTAATGGTTTGACAAACTTTTTTGTGCACTGTGGGCTGTAATGATTTAAATACTAAAACCAGAAATTTTGTGTACCATATGAGCTCAAAATACTATAAAGCTGCATTAATGTTCAATTGAGACATGAATACGATGTTTTATCACTGTGTTAGGTACCTAGAATAAAACAAAATAAAAGATGGATACTGTTTTCAAGGAGATTACCATCTAGCTGTAGCGTAGGGGTAGAGGTAGGGGACGGTAGAACTAATGTATCTGCAGTTATTGGATGAGACCAGTTAATTGCTAAATCTTCTGGTACTAAAGTAAATTTCATAGAAGGAAGAGGTCATTGTATTGGAATAATGAGAACATGTTTATTGGGACTTCATTTGGGTGTTGTAAGGGTCTTTTTTTTATGTTTATACGCCCTTCTAAAAAAGATTTGAACTACTTATAAAAATACATGGATTATAAAAGTTACGAAGTAATTTTGAAAGAAAGAAAATTAGGAAGATAGGTTACACAGAAGTACATATTATACAGCCCTTCACTTAGAGTTGAGTCACAAATTTGGTTCTGAGCTCGAAAAGGAAAGTACCCTTTTGATAGGCAAAAAGAAGGAGGGGGAGAAAGAGAGCGAACGAGCGCAAAGGGGAGGCCAGAGCTGTTGTGGTACCTCTTGGAATGAAGACTGGATAGAAGTGGAGAGCATGGGGAAAGTCCATGGTGGAGGATCTTGGGAGGCAGGCACAGTCCGACTGTGGGGTGCTGTTGGAGGCTTCTACACAAAGAGTGATGAAAAGCATTTTGGAAGAGAGTTATCTGGAAGCTAAGAGACTCTGAAGGCCGTGAAACTAGCACCAGTCTGGTTAAGACTGAAGAAGAAAATGAAATTCATTAGAAATGAAGTATCCAGCTAAAATTCCTGGAATGTATACGCAACACCTCATGCTACAGGCTTTCTTGATTATGTGAAGAGGATTTAAGATTCTATTGTGCTTGTTTCTAATAATGGACAATAGGAACAAAATCAAAAGGAAAGTCTTGATTGTGGTTATTATGTAGAGCTAAGCATATGGAGGTGGAGGGGCAGCTAGTTTCAGGATCTGTTCAGTTCTAGGAATTGAAATGGGGTTTTAGGATCCCATGAGAGGCTTAGTCCCAGTTGTACACTTAGTTCTGTGTCCTAAGATACAGGGATCCTGTAGAGTGGCGAGGCGAGCTGCTTGCTCTTGTTTGGGTTTTGCTCCCATACTAAGTGTTGGGATAGGTATGTAGGAATGCCTCTTACTGTTCTTTTCCATGTTAGTTCTTCTTGGTTTCTGAGATAAAGCATACTGTTTCTTGTGTCCCAGGTAGCCATTTTTGATGGTTTTAAATTCTTACTGTTCATGTTTGTGTCTAGTTTCAGCTTCCATATTAAAGTCTAAATTGTACGGAACACTCTTAGCAAATGAGCATGTGCCAGTTTTGATGGTTAGCATATAGTTTCACATATAATAATTTGATTGATATAAATTGCAAAATCTAAGCAGATAATTGCCTTTTCAAATGGCACTCATACAAAGTTTTTAAATACTCAGTTAGTTAGATACATTTAGTGAAAATACTATGACTAATGCTGTAACTGTTCCCTTCTGGGAAGCATCTGTGTCTATATGAGCATGTATCACAGGGGATGTGCCTGTGAGATTATCTTGAAAGTAGAGCTCTGGGCCTTCCATTTTCAGCCCACTGCATTTCCTGTCAGACCCTGAAACCCATTGAAATGTTATGGTTCGATGAGATCCCTTTATGGATGAGAGGATGCCCAACTTTATGGATTGCATGGGAGCTAGAAGCCTGGTAGGGCCTGTCTGTTGGAGAGTGATTGCTTAGCATTGCATTATTGGTTCAGAAAGTGAAAGTATGGGTAGACATCCACACAAGATGGTCTTTAAACTGTTTCTCGGCATTTATGAGCATGATTTTTTTGTAGTGTCTGAAGTAACAGTAACTTTTAGTTATAAAATTAGCATGTAAAACTTTAGCATTTAAAACTTAGATATTATATTTTCTATTCTAGCAAGATAGTGATCTTCCAGAAGGAGCCACTGTCCCTGCGTTGGGATTATCAAATAAAGCTATCTTTCAGGGTAAGGTTTTGTCTTCAAAATTATTAAACCCATAGTGGTACTTAAACCCCAGTCACACACTTGTGTAATGTCTACCTAATGTTTGTTACAGCTGATTTTTTTAAATCACAATATATGTATCTATCTTTTCTATCACCTATTTCGTGATAAGTACTCTTTGTACACACTCAGACCACTGAAGTAGATGCAGTTTTCACAAAGCAAGTTTTCTTTCTTTTTTTTTTTTTGAGACAGAGTCTTGCTCTGTCGTTCAGGCTAGAGTGCAGTGGTGCGATCTCAGCTCACTACAACCTACGCCTACCTCCTGGCTTCAAGCAATTCTCCTGCCTCAGCCTCCCGAGTAGCTGGGACTACAGGCATGCGCCACCACGCCCAGCTAATTTTTTGTGTTTTTAGTAGAGACAGGGTTTCACCGTATTGGCCAGACTGGTCTGGAACTCCTGACCTCAGGTGATCCACCTGCCTTGGCCTCCCAAACTGCTGGTATTACAGGTGTGAGCCACCACGCCCTGCCACAAAGCATGTTTTTTGGTGTTAGAACTACAGATGAGAATGTGGGTAACCTGAAGAATTGGTTGTGTAGTTTTAAAAGTTTGGAAACTGATAGGTCAAAGAAAATGGGAAGAACCTTTATGGAGTTGATTAATGCCGCCAGGAGCATGTTTGGAAAATACTGGAGTAATGGAAATACTCTTGCCTTTGGAATCACATGGACACAGCTGTGAATTACACCACTTTGAATTACCACTGCTTTCTATCTGGTGGCCTTAATATTGAGACAAGCAAAGGAGATATAAAAGTAGTGACCATATTCATGATGTGTTTCTTCAAACTAGGAGATATAGCTTCTCAGCCTTCTGATGAAGAGGAGCTGTTAACTAGTACTGGTTTTGAGTATCAGCAGGTGGCCTTTCAGCCCTCCATACTTACTGGTAAGAAGTGACAAAAACAATGTAATAAATCACTAGAACACACAGTATGTTATCTATTGCTGCTGACCTAAATAAGTGCTATAGAATTCACTTTTGTGAATTTGGATGAACATAGAAAAAAATAGGTTCAATTTATTCTAGAGCCTCCCACTGAGGATCATCTTCTGCAGAATACTTTGTGGCCTGAAGTTCAGAAACTGTAAGTTAGACTGTATTTAGCTCTTTGGTCTGATTCTGTCATAACTTGTGATTTTTCCTTCCCACCCCACAATTTGATTTCTCCTTTTTCTTCCTTCTACCTATCATTTTCCTCCTCCTCTATATATCTCTTAGTGGCTCTTCATAAGGAATGAGAATTAAACCTCACATTTATTTCTATATTACTATTTATTGTGTTCATTAGTTTTGTTTATTCATCTTATTCTTAAAGTAGAGAAGCATAACATTATGTATTTTTTCTTTGTTAAAAAGACTTGGCTGGGTACAGTGGCTCACACTTGTAATCCCAGCACTTTGGGAGGCCATAGCAGGAGGATCACTTGAGGCCAGGAGTTTGAGACCAGCCTTGACAATGTAGCGAGACCCCATCTCTACAAAAAATTTTAAAAAATTAGCCAGGCATGATGATGCATGCCTGTAGTCCCAAGCTACTCGAGAGGCTGCGGCTGGAGGATTGCTTCTGCCCAGGAATTTGAGGCTGCAGTGAGCCATGATTGCACCACTGCACCCCAGCCTGGGTGACAGAATGAGACTTAGCCTTGGAAAAAAAAAAAAAAAAAGTTTTGTTGTTAGTCATGGTTTTTTGGTCTTTGATGGTTCCTGATGAAAACCTTTCTATGGTTTATTGTTTAGATACTGGCTGGTTGAAAGTAGGAGGTGAAAACTTGTATGTTAATTGTTTGAATGAGTTATATTACTTATAGGAAGCTGGCATTTTTCTCCTATCTCCCTGTCTTTCTCTCAAATGTTTACCTAGATGAACATATAATGTTCCTCAGAAGAATTGTTTGTTAGCTAAAGAGATTGATGTTACTCCTTTTACTTTCAAAAATTGTGTGGCATGAGAATAGATTTATTTGCTAATAGTATATATTTTTCTTTTTAAATTTTAGATATGGGCATGGTTATGAAATATTTTGTGTTACTTGTAACAGTTCAAAGACTCTGCTTGCCTCAGCTTGTAAGGTAGGCAATTTTACTTTTGATTCTGCTTGGTCACAGGTTATTTGGGTCATCAGGCTCCTGCAAGTTTGGTAATGATTTAGGCAGAACTCTATGTGAAAGGCCACTAATCCTTGGTTTTTTGAATCTTACTTTCTCAATTTCTCTTACCCTTCTGTCTCTTCAAAAGCTTATGGTTTCATTTTAAGTCTGTTTCAGCTGCACATTTTGAGCTTATCTGTGCCCCCCTACTAAAAGTGATTTAATCAAATATCTCAAAATGACAACTGGAATCCCAGCTACTCAGGAGGCTGAGACATGAGAATCACTTGAACTCCAGAGGCAGAAGTTGGAGTGAGTCAAGATCGCGCCACTGCACTCCAGCTTGGGTGACAGAGTGAGACTCTGCATATAAAACAAGGATATCTCAAAATGATGCTAAAAATGTGATAAATTTTAAATAATTGGAGTCCTAGAGACACAGGGAAATGAGAAGAGGAAATCTGGAGTGAAGTCCATCAGACTTTATTTGAGGACACTCTTGGCACTGACCTAAGGCAGATGACTTTTGCATTTACTTAGAAGGATGATCTTGAATTCATCATTCAGTATTTATCCATATCCTATGGATATAGCAATTATGGAGGATTATCTGAAGGGTCTGAAACCCACACATTCCTCTTAAATTTTCTGAAATTTATTTACTTGTTTTAAATATGATGGTAAGAGCTGCCCACCTGCATGGGCTCGTGTCCCTGCCATTACTGTGGATTTATGCCATTGATATGCATTGAGAGGCATCATAAGAAATACTGCTGTGCTTCCCCTACACCCACCACTACCCCACTTGTTTATTCTTTGAAATGGTACTGAGAGGACTTCCTTCTCTTATAGGAGCCTTTGGGGAGAATGGAGTTCAGTAGTTCAACTGTCTGGGCTTCTACTGGGCAGATAATTTGTTTCTAACTTAGGGCACTGTGAATCCTGTAATTGATTTTTTTTCCCCCTTTTCAAGTTGACTCACAAGATGTACATCCTCTAAACATTTTTTAAACAGCTGTATTTAGGGTTATTAACATACTATAAATTGTATGTTTAATGTGAACAATTTGATAAGTTTTGACATGTTTATCCCTGTATAAATCATCATTACAATCATGAAACTGCATATATCCATCAACCCCCAACATTTTCTATACTCTTTGGCAATTCCTCTTTTTTACCTGTCCCTTTCCCCTCCTGCCTCCATCCCTAGGAAACCATTAGTCTGCTTTTTGTCATGATACAGTAGTTTGCATTTTCTAAAATTGTATATAAATAGGATCATGTAAGTATGTACTTTTTTGGTTTTGCTGCTTTCATTCATCATAATTGTTTGAGATTTATCCATGTTTTTGCATGCGTCAGTAGTTCATGCCTTCTTAATGCTGAGTAGTTTTACCTCGTACAGATGTACCACCATTTGTTGATCCATTCACTTATTAATGGACATTTGGGTTGTTTTCCAGTTTTGGGCTTTTAGCGATGGTACAGTTATGAAAATTTATGTACAAGTCTTTGCATGGATATATGCTTTCATTCTCTTGAGTACATAACTGTGAATGGAATTGTTGGATGGTATGGTAGATATATATTTAAAATTTTAAGACATTGACATGCTGTGTTCCCCAGTGGTTACACGTTTTTGCAGCAGTATATTAGATTTCCAGTTGCTCTGTACCCTCACCAGGACTTAATATCAGTCTTTTTAACTTTTAACCATTCTAGTGTGTAACAGCTATTTATGGCTGTAATTTGTATTTGTCTAATGATATTAAGCATCTTTTCATGTGTTAATTTTTTATCCATATGAAAATATGGTGAAACTACTCAAATCTTTTGCCCATTTATTTATTAGATTGTTTTCTTACTGAGTTTTGAAAAGTTTTTAAAATTTTTTTTATAGATTTAGGAGTACAAGTGCAACTGTGTTACATGGATATATTGTGTCTTGTTGAACTCTGGATTTTAGCATACCCATCACCTGAATAGTATACATTGTACCTTGAGTATTTCATTCCTCAACCCTTCCCACCTTTTTGATTCTCCAGTGTCTACTATTATTCCACACTGTATGTCCATGTGTACCCATTGCTTAGCTCCTACTTGTAAGCAAGAATGTCTGGTTTTTGGCTTTCTGCTTCTGAGTCATTTCACCACTTAGGAGAATGGCTTCTAGTTCCATCCATTTTGCTGCAGAAGAAATGATTTCATTGTTTTTTATGACTGAGTAGTAGTTCATGGGGGGGGTGTGTGTGTGTGTGTGTGTGTGTATAGACACCACATTTTAAAAACCAATTATCCATTGATGGACACTGAACAGTTTTTTATATACCCTGGATACAACTTTATCGGATGTGCTTATGTAGATATTTTTTCCCAGTGGCTTGTCATTCTTCTAACAGTGTCTTTCAAATGGCAGATGTTTTATGATTTGTTGAAGTCCAGTTTATCAATTTTTTTTAAATTTAGGTTGTGTCCTTCTTATATCTAATCTTTTTTTTTTTTTTTTTTAAACAGAAATTTAATCTTGTTTCCCAAGCAGGAATGGAGTGGCCTGATTTTAGCTCACTGCAAGCTCCGCCTCCCGGGTTCCCGCCATTCTCCTGCCTCAGCCTCCCGAGTAGCTGGGACTACAGGCGCCCGCCACCTCACCCGGCTAGTTTTTTCTATTTTTTAGTAGAGACGGGGTTTCACCGTGTTAGCCAGGATGGTCTTGATCTCCTGACCTCGTGATCCACCCGTCTCGGCCTCCCAAAGTGCTGGGATTACAGGCTTGAGCCACCGCGCCCGGCCTTATATCTAATCTTTAACTCAAGGTCACAAGGATTTTTCTGTTGTGTTTTGTTCAAGGAGTTCCATGGGTTTTTAACTTTTGCCTTTAGACCTATGATACTTTCAAATTAATTCATGTATTTGTCATGGAATATAGATTAAAGTTGATTTTCTTTTATTGTAGATACCAGTTTCAGCATCATTTTTTAAAAAGACTATCCCCTTCATCACTGTGTTTTGTCCCTTTGTCTAAAGTCACTTGTTCATATATGTGGGTCTGTTCCCTAGACTTTATTGGGTTGTATTGATCTTTTTTGATATGATGCCAGTACCATACTCTCTTAGTAACTATAGTGTTTTAATAATATATCTTGAAATTAGGAAGTATAGAGTTATTTTGGCTATAGTAGATCCTTTATTTTGCATTTTAGAATCAGCTTAAGAGTTTCTACAAAAATACCTGCAGGAATTTTAATGGAGATGGCATTGATTCTCTAGATTAATTTGGGGAGAATTTTAACAATATTGAGTATTTTGACATATGAATGAAATATATCTGTCATTCCTTCAGGTCTTTAATTTCTCTCAGGATTGATCTTTTTAAAAGTAAACCATTTATTTTGGAATAATTTTCATTCTTTTTCCCCCTCCATGTCACACTTTTTCATTTCATTTTTTCCCCCTCCATGTCACAGTTTTGATCATGGAATAATTTTTTAAGATCTGAGAGCTACAGTGAAAAGGGGGAAAAAAAAAAGAAAGCATGATAATATTAGTCCCTGATGATTCATTTTTTCTAATCCCAGTCATCTGGAATTCTTCCCAGAGATTAGAAATGGTTGTAGTATGTTATCTCCTAGGAATTTTTTTTGGAATTCAAACAGATAAATAAAATATACTCATAGAAACAATGTGTTGTTTTTAAAATGGTTTCTCTTCAGTTTTTTAGTTACTAGCTTTATTGTTTCATCTCTGTCCTACAGGCAGCTAAGAAAGAGCATGCAGCTATCATTCTTTGGAACACTACATCTTGGAAACAGGTGCAGAATTTAGTTTTCCACAGTTTGACAGTTACGCAGATGGCCTTCTCACCCAACGACAAGTTCTTACTGGCTGTTTCCAGAGATCGAACCTGGTCTTTGTGGAAAAAGCAGGATACAGTCTCACCTGAGTTCGGTAAAACAGCTTCTGATTGGGAAAGTTACTAGTGAAACAGTTATGTCCATTTTATCTACATTAAGCAGCTTTAGTTAAGACAAAGATAACAGAGTAAAGGGTAGAGTCTCAAGTCTTTGAAGCCTTTCAAAGTTCTTGGATAACTGAGGAAGACTTGACCTTCCTCATAGGATTTAAATGGAGATGATCTTTGTTTGGGTTGACCTACTTGTGATTATGTAGTCAAGATGGCATGTATTCAGATATCTCAGTTCAAGAAACATAAACGTCTGTATGTAGGAAGTTAGGTTTTGTAAATGGTGATAGAATGCTACCACAAAACCTAATGGATGACATATCCTGAACTAGGATTTTATGGGACAGGAATAATGAAGATACAACTAAGAAAACTCATGGTTGAGTGGTTTCTTCTCTCTGAACTATTTTATTAATATAGTACTATTTTAAATTACGAAATATAGAGGAAACCATTATCCTTAGCTTTTTCCTACCCTCTGCAGTCACTTCCTTCATTGAGAAGGGCATACTAGGCATCCATCTGGATAACATGACCCCTGAGCAAGGTGTTAGCCCACCTACCCACATTCTACTCTGGACCTGGCATAAACTGAAAAAAAAAAAGAGGACTAAAAACCTTTGTGTAGTTGGGGCAGTGGCCTATTCTTATTCCCCCAGTTTCTTTTGGTGGATAAGTTCTAGAGAGTGTTTAAAGTATATTTAAGTTGTTTAATCCTGTTTTTAATTTTTCCATTGATAAGACTCACATACAGTTTGGTTTTGTGATATTTCTAGTCTCTTTGTTTCTTGTGTTTTAGAGAATATCCAGGGACTGTAAAGTATACTCAGCAATATGTTTTAGAACAGACTGTTTTCTTTTGCATCACGAATCTTTTCCTAACATGCAGCATTTACTGCTTAAAAAGCTAAAGTTGGCCAGGCACAGTGGCTCATGCATGTGATCCCAGCACTTTGGGAGGCCAAGGTGGATGGATCACCTGAGGTCAGGAGTTGAAGACCAGCCTGGCCAACATGGTGAAACCCCGTCTCTACTAAAAATAGAAAAATTGACCGGGCGTGGTGGTGCATGCCTGTAATCCCAGCTACTTGGGAGGCTGAGGCAGGAGAATAGTTTCAACCTGGGAGGCAGAGGTTGCCAAGATGGTACTAAGATGAGCCAAGATGGCGCCATTGCACTCCAGCTTAGGCGACAGAGCAAGACTCTATCTCAAAAAAAAAAAAAAAATTAATTAAAGTTGGATGGGGGTGGTGGCTCACACCTGTAATCCCACCACTTTGGGAGGCTGAGGCAGGTGGATCATTTGAAGTCAGGAGTTTGAGACCAGCCTGGCCAATATGGTGAAACCCCATCTCTACTAAAAAGTGTAAAAATTAGCCAGGTATGGTGGTGCATGCCTGTAATCCCTGCTACTCAGGAGGCTGAGACAGGAGGATTGCATGAACCCGGGAGACGGAGGTTGCAGTGAGTGGAGATCCCATCACTGCACTCCAGCCTGGGCATTAGAGTGAGACTTCGTTCTCCCTGCAAAAAAACATTGTATTATTAATGTATTTATTAATGTGTTATATCTTTATGAATTATGGAGTAATAATAGATACAGTCTTATTCCCTCCTCATAAACAGTTGTGTGGTTTTTGTTTTTTAGGGTTTTTTTTTTTTTAGACAGAGTTTCCCTCTTGTTCCCCAGGCTGGAGTACAGTGGTGTGATCTTAGCTCACTGCAGCCTCCACCTTCTGGGTTCAAGCAATTCTCCTGCTTCAGCCTCCTGAGTAGCTGGGATTAAAGGCACCCGCTACCACACCTGGCTAACTTTTTGTATTTTTAGTAGAGACAGGGTTTCTTCATGTTGGCCAGGCTGGTCTTGAACTCCTAACCTCAGGTGATCCACCCGCTTCTGCCTCCCAAAAGTGCAGGGATTACAGGCATGAGCCACTGTTCCTGGCCAACAGTTATGTGTGTTAGGTTTAGTCTGTATAAGGGCTAGAAGTTGCCTTACACTTAAATCTTAAAAGGAAAATATTTTCTTAAGATTTCTTTTTTTAAACATTAAGTGGTACATTAATCTTTTTTCTATAGCCTAATATGCAGATCTGCCTGCTTTGAATACGGCTAAATAGCTTCAGGCTTCTTCTATAGGCGTGAGTTGAACTGCAGTTGAGTGTTTGGAAGATGTTTGTCATCAGTCACTAGAGAGTGACCAGTCAGTACAAAAGCATTCCCTGCTAGAAAAATAACTATGTCCACAGCCTTCTGGTGAGCGGTTGTCTGGCTTCAGTCTGTTTCAAAAGTCAGTGCATGTAAATTGAATATTAAGTCATATGGTGTATATGGCATTTAAACATCACTTCCTAATAGGTAAAAACCCAGCTTTCTCTGCTTTGTGAATAGTGTATACATATTTCTTTCAGAGCCAGTTTTTAGTCTTTTTGCCTTCACCAACAAAATTACTTCTGTGCACAGTAGAATTATTTGGTCTTGTGATTGGAGTCCTGATAGCAAGTATTTCTTCACTGGGAGTCGAGACAAAAAGGTAATTATTTAAAAACTTAATATTTTTTCAAATGTAAAATAATATTTGTATAGGTATGTTTGAATAAAAAATGCGTAATCCTGCCTTTCTGTTACAGCTTTTAAAAATCAGCTATGTATTCCTTTCTGTTTTTCATATATGTACATATAAAAAAAGACTTTTCTTGTTAAATTCTATAAGTAAATTTCTCTGAAATGTCAAAAATATGAAGAGAAGACCTTTCAGACATATGACCTTCATCAAATGGTCCCAGTGGAAGAAGAGTAATAAATGAAATTAATCAAGACCAAGAAACCAGGAGGGCAGCAAGGGAGGTAGGGGAATAAGGGAAAAACTATTTTCTAGTTTTCATACTTTTATGAATTTAACATTTTTCTATAATGAATTGTTACCTTTTCATTTGGTGCTAGAAGTGGGTGGAGTATGACTGACCCAAGCTTTAAAAAAGATCAAAACAAAGTAGCTAGGAATTTTTTTTTTTTTTTTTTGGAGATAAGGTCTCGGGTGCAGTGGTAGTCATGGCTCACTGCAGCCTGGATCTCCTGGGCCCAAGCAATTCTCCCACCTCAGCCTTGGCCTCCCAAGCAGGTGGGACTACAGGTACTCACCACCACGCCCAGCCAATGTTTTAATTGTGTAGAGATGGGGTCTTGCCATGTTGCCAGGCTGGTCCTGAACTCCTGGACTCAAGCAGTCCTCTCACTTTGGCCTCCCAAAGTGTTGGAATTACAGGCATGAGCCACCACATCCAGCCTCCGAGTATGTTCTCCAACATGACCTTCACCTTTGTTCTCTGAGAAATGTCCACCTTGCCTCTAGTCTTTCCTTAGTTTTCATACTCTTTAAAATACCCTTTTGCTCCCACAGACTAAAGGTGGTGAAGCAGTTTAGTGTCGCCGTTCCTCTCCCTGCCTTCTTTAGTCACAGACACGGTACAGATCACTGAAGTGGAGGGCTAGCACAGGCAGGGTGTCACTCAAGCTAAACACCTACATGTCAGCCTCTATGGCAGACTTTATGTCTCAGACCCTCCCTTCTGTTCATTTGCCTATTCTTTCTTGGCATTGGTGTGCCTGTGCTGTGCTCAATGCTGAGGAAGAAGGACTGCTTCTGTCCCCCACAGTCATGCTGTGTTAGTCTGTTTTCACACTGCTCTAAAGAACTGCCCGAGACTGGGTAATTTATAAAGGAAAGAGGTTTAATTGACTCATAGTTCCTCAGGCCTGGGGAGGCTGCAGGAAACTTTCATTCATGGCAGAAGGCGAGGCAAACACATCCTTCTTCACATGGTGGCAGGAGAAAGAAGTGCTGAGCAAAAGGGGGAAGCCTCTTATGAAACCATCAGATCTTGTGAGAACTCACTATCTTGAGAAGAGCATGGAGGTAACTGCCCCCATGATCTGATTACCTCCTACTGGGTCCCTCCCACAACATATGGGGATTATGGGAACTACAATTCAAGATGAGATTTGGGTGGGGACACAGCCAAACCATATCACATGCCTATAGAACATGGTCCAGCTGCTACTCTCAGGGGTGGCTCCAGCAGACAAGCAGCATTTGCTGGACATTCTCTGAAATGTACTTCTGCTTGCTTGGACAAAGCCTTATGCTCAGAATCTTGCTTTGGTTCTGCATTTTGCTACTGTTGTCCACTTCACTTCTTTCTCCTTTTGATATGGAGTTTCGCTCTTGTTGCCCAGGCTGGAGTGCAGTGGCGCGATCTTGGCTCACTGCAACCCCCGCCTCCCAGGTTCAAGCGATTCTCCTGCCTCGGCCTCCTGAGTAGCTGAGATTACAGGCACCCACCACCATGCCCAGCTAATTTTTTGTATTTTTAGTAGAAACGGGGTTTCACCATGTTGGCCAGGCTGGTTTTGAGCTCCTGTCTTCAAGCAGTCCACCCGTCTCTACCTCCCAATCTGCTAGGATTATAGGTGTAAGCCACCACGCCCAGCCCACTCTCCATTGCTTTGTGACCATTCACACATCCTTGAGGTATGAGCTTCCAGGGAAGCCTCATTTCTTGAGGGGTATCATGTAGGTCAGGTTTTCCTTATAGCTGAGTAGATTCCCTGAGCAATGGACAGTGTAGAGAAAGAGCTAGAAAGCTGATTAGTTCTTTTTTTTTTTTTTGAGACGGAGTTTCACTCTTGTTGCCCAGGCTGGAGTGCAATGGTACGATCTCGGCTCACTGCAACCTCCGCTTCCTACGTTCAAGCGATTCTCCTGCCTCAGCCTCCCTAGTAGCTAGGATTACAGGCACCCACCACCATGCCCAGCTAATTTTTATATTTTTAGTAGAGATGGGGTTTCACTATGTTGGCCAAGCTGGTCTCAAACTCCTGACCTCAGGTGATACACCTGCCTTGGCCTCCCAAAGTGCTGGGATTACAGGCGTGAGCCACTGCGCCTGGCCCAAAAGCTGATTAATTCTTAAACATTTTGTAGTAGCTTCGTGGGGAAGTGCATGAGCCTACTGATGGGACTCCACTGGATCGTAACCAATTTGTGAGTGTAGAAGGCATGTTAGACACCTCTGTCTGGTCTCTGGGCAGGAGCGTTTTGTCTTTGGACCAAAGTGAGCTCTCACAGACGTGTGTCTGCTGTACTGTGCCTTCTTTGTGATGCTTGAAATGTTCTCAAGTCCTGGCACATCATACACAAATGTAAATGATGCATTTAAAAAAACACCGGAGCAAATACTTTGTTGTATCTTTGCCAATGAAACTGTAGTGCATTGCTAGAAACCTTGCAGAGAGAAGGCTTTACAGTGTGTGATCTATCTGTATTAGGTGGTTGTCTGGGGTGAGTGCGACTCCACTGATGACTGTATTGAGCATAACATTGGCCCCTGCTCCTCAGTCCTGGATGTGGGTGGGGCTGTGACAGCTGTCAGCGTCTGCCCAGCGCTCCACCCAGCGCTCCACCCTTCTCAACGGTCAGTCTCTGTGTGGGGCTTAGTTTTAAGGGGACCACTTGGTTTCTTAATACGTAACCCTCATGTCATTTCATTTGTGAATTCTCCTGGCCTCTGAGTTACTGTCTTTTTCTTTTTTTTTTTTTTTTTGAGACGGAGTCTCACTCTGTCACCCAGGCTGGAGTGCAGTGGCATGATCTCTGCTCACTGCAACCTCTGCCTCCTGAGTTTAAGTGATTCTCCTGCCTCAGCCTCCCAAGTAGGTGGGATTACAGGCATGCGCCACCATGCCTGGCTGATTTTTTTGCATTTTTAGTAGAGATGAGGTTTCACCATGTTGGCCGGGCAGGTCTTGATCTCCTGACCTCAAGTGATCCACCTGCCTCGGCCTCCCAAAGTGCTGGGATTACAGGCATATGCCACCGCGCCTGGCCTCAGTTACTGTCTTTTCCAAAATGGTTATGTTTCTCATAATAATTTTTGAATTGATAGAACCTAATGATTCAGAATGTAAAATACAGGTTAGGAATATGGCTCAAAGAGTCTTACTTCACCAAATCTAGGACTGTGGTACTTTTTCTGTAACAAGCATCTTCAGTGGAACAAGGGTTCCTGTAACCAGCTGGGGAAACACTGGCTCGTGGGCTTTGCCATCAGAGGATACAGATAAATCTGTGTGCAGCCCCTATAGAGTGGAGGCTCCTTGAGGACACAGCAGAGCAGTGCAGCATGTCCTGGGCTGATGCCTGCAGAGTCTTTTGCAAGGCAGGGACAGTTGGGACACTGTGAAGAACTACTTTAGAGCAATGATGGCGATAACAGAATTTCATGCTAAGTTAGTCACTTTTGTCCCCCTCCCTTAAAAACAGATATGTGGTTGCAGTAGGATTGGAGTGTGGAAAGATTTGCTTATACACCTGGAAGAAGACTGATCAAGTTCCAGAAATAAATGACTGGGCCCACTGTGTAGAAACAAGTCAAAGGTATTTCTTCCCTATTTTTGTTTCCATCAGATTAACTAGAAATTGTGGGGTCTTTTGTGGCAAATTTTATGCCACATTTTCATGGAGAGGGACATATATCTTTATTCATGGTGTCTACCACTTTGTTTTGTGGTAATCTGAAATTGATATATTGCACTTGACTTTTAAAAGTTTGCTTGACCAACTTGCTTGCATGCATAATATTGTTTTTATAAACAACCATTTGAGATGAAAGTGATTTTCGTAATGGTGTGTTTTAGAATTTGACTACAGTAGATTCTTAATTTGATTCAAAATGTTTGTGATTTTTAAACGTATTCTGGATTGCACTTTGGTAGTCGTATCCTTATGATTGAACCCTTCACCTCAGATCCTGCAGTGGAGCTTTCAGGCATAGCAAGGCTTATGCCCTGGGCCTCATGCATTTGCCACCTGAGCTGGCATAGAGCACCTACTGTTTACAGCCTCCTCCCCATCCCACCCACCTAGACAGCAGGAATCACTTTTAATCTAGCCTTTTACAGGTTTTATTCTTTTTTTGTGTGTGTGAGAGACAGGGTCTCACTCTGTCACCTAGGCTGGAGTGTAGTGGCAAGATCCCAGCTCACTGCAACCTCCACCTCCCGAGCTCAATCAGTCTTCCTACCTCAGCCTCCCAGATAGCTGGGACTATAGACACGCACCACCATGCCTGGCTACTTTTTTTTTGTATTTTTAGTAGAGATGGGGTTTCACTGTGTTGGCCAGGCTGGTCTGCATCTCCTGGGCTCAAGCAATCCTCCTGTCTTGGCCTCCCAAAGTGCTAGCGTTACAGGCATGGGCCACTGTGCCTGGCCCAGATTTTATTCTTTAAAAATGTCTAAATGTGGCTGGGTGTATTGGCTCATGCCTGTAATCCTAGCACTTTAGGACGCCAAGACGGAAGGACTGCTTGAGCCCAGGAGTTTGAGACCAGCCTGAGCAACATAGTGAGACCTCCAGTCTCTACCAGAAATAAAAGAAATTAGCCAGATGTGATGGCGCATGACTGTGAGTCCCAGCTACTTGGGAGGGTGAAGTGGGAGGATCACTTGAGCCCAGGAGGTTGAGGCTGCAGCAAACCATAATCACACCATTGCACTCCAGCCTGGGTGAGTGAGACCCTGTCCCCTCTAAAAAAATATAAACGTTCAGAAAGTTCCTCGTATCATTCTGTGTCATATTTTCTTAGGCTTTTTCAACCTTCATATATCTGTACTGTTGAAAATACAATTTCAAATAGCAATTTCAAATGACAATATGATGAGGGTAAGTGCTTAATGGAGAGAGATTTATGAGCAATGTCTTTTATAAGATATCCAGCAGATCTTGTCATGTCAACCAAACATGTTAGTGCTCATTATAATTATATTTATTAAAATGAGATATTGCCATGCCCCCATGGCTTTCCTCCTGCCTCTCTGGGCTGGGTTTAGCAGTTGAACTAGTTTGTGCTGTTGGCTTGCTGAAGAGGGGAGAAATCTGTTGAAATTCCATGCTTCAGGCATTTGAAAGGCACCCCTTCCTTCCACTTTGCCTGCCCACAGTGCTCCCTTCACCTCTAACCTGGTGTGAAGACCTCTTCAATGGCCCCCATGTGGGACACTGGCGGGAAGCCACTTAGAAAGTGCAGGAAGGGAACATGTATAGAATTTGAGTTTTTTGTCTGAAAGGGTTGTTTTTTCCTTTGGTCATTATGGTGACTTAGGATTTGCAAGATGGAACTAATGCATGACTTAACGTATTATTTGGATTGCTAATATTTCAGTTACCAAATTCCAAATACCGTTCAAATGAAAGCTTTTGCTAGTAATAGATTTACAAAGGTAATATAAGCAAACACTACCCTTTAGGTTGGTTTGCCAAACTCCCTATCTTCTTAAATGTGACATGTTAATATGCTGGATTTAAAGGACATTACCAAAAAGAAAAACCCACTATCTCAAAGCTTACATAGCCAAACAAGTACTGTTCCTCAAAGTAACTCCCTTGGAAAGAATTATACCACATATGTTTATTTCAATAATTTCACTACTTCAAATCATTCTTTTAATGAAATGAGAGAACTTTAATCCATAATAATTGAGATTCCAGTGATGTTGCTATCACTTAAAATATTCTTGAAACTTCTCTGTAGGAATTGTGTTCAGAACTAGCTTACTAGTGATGCAAAAAACCAAATTATAATGCCTTTTATGGTGTTATTTCAATCGTTTCCTCTTTTTAAAGCTTGCCATTCATATCTATTAAGCTTGCCATTTATATTTATTATAAAGCTTACTTCCAGGTGCTTTCAACAGTCAGATTCATCAAGAGGAATATGAGCTATCATTGAGAGTACTCAAATCATAGTCTGCATAATCTGGAGGCATTTTCTCTAGAGTAATTTCAGAAAACAATTGAGGCACAGCAGCACTGTTATAACCTCCCAGAGTGACTATTTGTAAGGGCTCGCAGTCATCTTGTTGCATAGGTTCAGGAGGACTGATTTTTAAAAATGGGTTTCATGACTTCATTCTTCCCTTTTAATCATGAGAATGCATCTGGTGACAGGGACTGTCAGCAAATGAGAGTGTAATGTGAGTGCTCTGGTATTGTTTTCAGTGTTTACTGCCCTAAAACCTACTTAGGTTTTTCACTTTAGTCGTTTCTGGTTTGGGAAGCTAATTTGGAGGTTAAATTTATAGAAGATGTTGTATTTTCATAGAGATTTGTTACTAACATACCTTGGTAACATTCTGGGTCTGCCTTTTTAAAGGGCTGGGGGTATAGGGGGTAGGGAGCATTGATATGATAGTCTTGCCCAAGGTCACGCAGTTAGAGGTCACACTGGAGACCAAGACTCCTTCATTGGGCAGTACATTAAATCTTTCATTGTCTTTCTTTACCAGTAGTAAAAATGCAATTCCATCCCCCTCACAGGGATGTCAAAAAAATAAAATAATCTAGAATATATAGTAAAGTTGAAATTGTTATAAATACATTTAGTAATGTTATCTAAAAGACTAACTGGAATATCCATTTCATGAAATTCCATTGATCATTAAAACAACATTTATTTAAAAATTTTTTATTTTTTGTATTTTTTAAACAACATTTGACAGAGATTCATTGTCTGTTTCTTGCTTCTTTTGGTGATGTTACTGCCAGTGAGTAAGATTAAAATTTAGTCTTGCAGTTTTATGTAAATATAGTAAAATATTTTCCAGGTTAAAATAAAATGGCTAAAATGTTAACGATGGTGTTTTAAAACCTGTACATTTCAATTTTCAGGTTGTAACTTCCATTCATGTTTACGCCATTAATTGGAAAAACATTTCACGACTTCTTTATCTTTGTTTTAGCCAAAGTCATACACTTGCTATCAGAAAATTATGCTGGAAGAACTGCAGTGGAAAAACTGAACACAAGGAAGCAGAAGATGCTGAGTGGTTGCATTTTGCAAGCTGTGGTGAAGATCACACTGTGAAGATACACAGAGTCAATAAATGTGCACTGTAATGGACTTAATAACTACATGCTTGCAGTCACTGGTATCTTAAAATAATATCACGTAAATAGATCATCTTTGCCTTCATAATAGAACTGAGTGTCTTTTTTTTTTTTTTTTTTGAGATGGAGTCTTGCTTTGTTGCAACCTCCACCTCCCAGGTTCCAGCGATTGTCTTTCCTCAGCCTCCTGAGTAGCTGGAACTAGAGGCACACACCACCATGCCTGGCTAATTTTTGTATTTTTAGTAGAGACTGGGTTTCACCATTGACCAGGCTGGTCTCAAACTCCTGATCTCAGGTGATCTGCTCACCTTGGCCTCCCAAAGTGCTGGGATTACAGGCATGAGCCACTGCACCCGACCTGAGTTTCATTTTTTAAGTCACGTAGCAGTAGTCCTTATTTGAGTGCTAGACCCTTTGAAATGCGATGAAAGCTATGGACCCTTCACTTTGTTATATAACATATGTACACACACCCAGAACTTTGCACATACGTTCAGAGATTCCTAGACCCACAGACCTGCCTCTGTGTGTCCCAATTTAAGAATCTCTGTTCTTTCTTCATGACTGGATTTGCCCAATTTTGTGTTATTTTGGGACTTCATTTGTCCCTCTTTGGGACATTTCCTTATTTATTGCCCTCTTCAGAGAGTAGACATAGGAAAAACAAGATAGGAAACCTAGATTACTTAATTTTTAGTTTACCGTTTTCTGTAGATAAGCATACCACACCAAGTGTGCTCTGTCTTGATCCCCTTCTTTGTAGCATATGCCAGACATTGTAGAGTTTGGCAAGCAGTTGTAGGTTTGAGCTGCAGCCAATCATTTCTTTTGTTCTTTAGAAGTATATAGATTTGTCTTTTTAGGGCTTTACCGAAAGTAAAATATCCTGACATTTAAACTGATAGATGTAGAAGGTAAAAAATAGAGTTCCGAAACATCTGAATTTATGTGATAGCTGAAGTCACAAGATGAGGGATGTATGTCCTCCAGGGAGGATGCAGAAAGAAGAAAAGGGTGCTGGAAACAGCCTGTCAGTTGTGCCAGCTGTGGGCTGGAGGCAGCCAGGAGAGTTGGGAGCCTGGGTGTTGGGTGGAGAGAGGTTAACAGGGAAGACATGGGAAGTACTGTGAACACGGCTGGTGTGAGCAGAGGACTATTCCGACCCTGTTGGAACATAGAGCCATCTGACAGATTGACAATACAATGAAGGCTGTATATAATAAATGTGTTGAAAGGAGGAAGGTGAGGATTTTCTTGGTGGGAGTTTACGCCATTATTTAACATATTTTGCTTCCAAAGGGGTTAAAGTGTTTTACCTAAATGGATGTGTCTAGGTCAGTGCTATAGAGTATTTCTAATCTGTGTTTTATAGTGTGAGCTACATATGTAATTTTAAAATTTTCAAGTAGCCACATAATGAAACAGGTGAAATTTAATGACCCATTTCCTTTAATACGGTATATCCAAAATATTATTATGTCAACCTGTAATCAATATAAAAACCTGTTACTGAAGTATTTTATAGGGCCTCTCTCAGTTCAGACTAGCCACATTTAAGTGCTGCATAGCCACATGTGGCTTATGGCCATCTATATTTGAACAATGTACTTTAGACTATTGCATCTGTATACTCTTGTGCCCTCAGCTGGGGGATGGGGTATGTGTGTGTGTGTACCAAGGCAGTGAGCATCTGAGCTTTGAACCTCAGAGACCAAAATGCCGTGCCCATTTCCCTGCTATCAGCTGAGGAATCTTTACTCACATTGACACACGGGCTTATTCTGACCCAAGTGCATTCAGGCTTCCAGAGCAGATTGAGAGGCCTAACTTGGTCCTTTAGCTCCCCTCCCAGCACAGAACCCCCCAGGTTATCTGAAAGTAGGCCTCACCTAGAGAGACTGAGTTTCCAAGTTGTCAGTTTTCCCAAATGGTCCTCAAGCATCTTCCTCAGCAATCACCTTACAGTTTAGTAAACATTCAGAGGACTTGCTACGCATCTGGGCAGTCTGCATTGTAATTCATATGTGTTTACACACTTATGTCTTCATCTGCTAAAGCACCTTTGAACCGTGTTGTAGTTCATAATATCTGAAGCAATTATTTTGAATTGTAGTAATTCATAATATTGAAGCAATTCATAATATCTGAAGCAATCCTCAGATATGGGTTAGGCATGGCCCTGCTCTGAGTAGGATGGCAAAAGTGGCAGTCTATGACGCAGCCCTTGTTACCCAGGCTATTCCTAAATGGTGGTGGTGGTTTTATCTTAATTAAAATGACATCACCAACAACGCGCCCTTTCCTGTCTGCCAGGAAAAGTTTTCTGTAGTGACGCATGTGTTTGTGTGTGTGCGTTCGAGGCTATATTACCCATTGCTACAGCAGTTCAAAATGACTTGGAAAAAAACAATGAATGCTGGTCATTGATGTGTATACTGACATGTTTAAGGGAAGTTACTGTGGTCTGTAACTTAAGAAATACATAAAAAATAAGGTGGGTGGAGTGACGGACACATGGATAGATATGAAGCCAGCACTGTAAAATATTAGTGGTAGTTTTGTATGCCCATACTCACAGTACCATTATTCACAGTAGCTAAGAGATGGAAGCAATACGTGTCCATCAGTGGGTGAATGATCAACAAAATGTGTATTCATACAGTGGAATATTATTCAACCTCTAAAAGGAAGATATGCTGACACATGCTGCGACATGGATGAATCTTGAGGACATGATGCTAAGTGAAGTAAGCCAGTCACCGAAGGACAAATACTGTATGTTTCCATTTATATGAAGTATCTAGAGCAGTCAAATGCATAGAAACAAAGTAGAATGGTAGTTTCCAAGCACTGGGAGAGGAGGAAATGAGGAGTTGTTTAATGGGTATAGTGTTTCAGTTTTGCAAGACAAAAAGTTCTGGGGATTGATTGCACAGTTATGTGAATACTGTATACCGACTGAACTGTACACTCTAAAATAGTTAAGATGGTAAATACTATCTTTATTTTACCACAGTGTTTTTTAAAGCATGGTAAACAACATTTTCCAGGATGTAAATTGGTACCAAAAAAAAAGTGCTCCAAAGTAAGATATATTCGGGAAACACAGGGCTAACTAAAGTTAGATAGGTGTCTTTATTGTAGGAATTCTAAGAGCATTTAACAAATTAATTTACATTGAGAATTTTCAGTGTGGAGGGTCTGGCTCATAACATTTCACAAACATTGAACTTCAGAGTCCCAAAGCCTTTAAATAAAATGTTAATGGTAGAAACTCCTTAAGGGGTGTTCATTGTACAAGTCTTTCAATTTTTCTGCATGCTGGGAGGTTTGGTTTTTTTTTGGTAACAACATGTTGGGGAAAATGGCCTTGGAATATTTCATTCAAATTGGAGCCAAGCTAACACAAAGCTGTTGCTGCTAGTGGGAACAGCCCTGATGTCCATGTAACAAGCTGCTCTCCCCAACTCCCTCCCTTCTGCTTCTCCTTCCTCGGCGCCCACTGCTAGGATTAACAGGCAGGGAGGCAGAGAGCCCAGCTCAGGTAAGTTGGGCCACAGCAGAAGGAGGGCCAGGGCAGAGGTTTGGGCCTTGGCTCTGATGCTTGAACATAAACATACCTAGTCAGAAGTACATCAGTACAAAGTGGACCCTACAAAATGATAGGGCCAGAAAACAGGTATGTGGTTACCAGGGGCTGAGAATGGGGAGAGGAGTGACTACAGAGGGACCCAGATTCTTCAACAAATACATTACAAGAGGAAAAGGGAAAGGAAGCCTGGAGATTGAAAGATACTTGAGACGCGTGAATCCAGTGCAGTGTATGAACCTTGTTTGCATCCTGATCTGAACTAGCCAATCAGTCTTGTAAAAATACGCTTAAGGGACAAAGCAAATTTGAACTCTGCCTGGATATTTGATGATTTTAAGGAAACAACATTTAAATATATGACAGTGGGGCTGTGGTTATGATTGGGTTTTTTTTTTTGTCTCTAGAGGCTGGGTTTTGAAGTGTTGCCTAAGCTGGTCTTGAACTCCCGGGCTCAAGCAGTCCTCCCACCTCAGCCTTGGTTTCTTTAAAAAAAAAAATTCTTTTGAATCATACGTGCAGTATTTATGGATGAAATGAATTTATGTCTTAGGTTGTTTCATAATGATTGTGTGTGTGGCAAGGATTAGGTGGGTTTTAGATGTGTGGATTATTAGTGAAGCTGGGCAGTGGTGGGGTGGTCATACTATTCTAATTTTTTAATATATTTAAAATTTCCTTGTAAGAATTGTTAAATGAAAAGGCAGGGCACGGTGGCTCATGCCTGTAATCCCAGTACTTTGGGAGTCCGAGGCGGGGGATAACGGGGTCAGGAGATCGAGACCATCCTGGCTAACACGGTGAAAACCTATCTCTACTAAAAATACAAAAAAATTAGCTGGACGTGGTGGCGGGCGCCTATAGTCCCAGCTACTGGGGAGGCTGAGGCAGGAGAATGGCGTGAACCCGTGAGGCGGAGCTTGCAGTGAGCTGAGATTGTGCCACTGCACTCCAGCTGGGTGAAAGAGCGAGGCCGTCTCCAAAAAAAAAAAAGGTTAAATGGAAAAAGAATGAGCATATCCATAAGTTAAATACAAGAAGTGTTACATTGTGAGGAATTCTTCCCCTCCTAGCATGTAGTGGATGGTCCAGTAGTAAGGCTCTGCCACGCTTAAATAAGAGACTGGCACTGCAAGGACAATGAGGCTGAGGCCAGAAGAGAGACAATGTGGGATGGCTGCATGTGGTTGGTAGATAGAGGACTCTGAGCCCCACACTCTGGTGGACTCACAGATCTGGCACCCGGGCTCAGCGTGGTGGTTCATACCTGTAATTCCAGCAATTTGAGAGGCTGAGGCAGGTAGATCACTTGAGGTCAGGAGTTCGAGACCAGCTTGGCCAACGTGGTGAAACTCCATCTCTACTAAAAATACAAAAAAAAAAAAACCAGGTGTGGTGGTGGGCACCTATAATCCCACATGTTCCAGAGGCTGAGGCAGGAGAACCGCTTGAACCCAGGAGGAGGAAGTTGCAGTGGGCCAAGATTGAGCCACTGTGCTCCAGCCTGGGCAACAGAGTGAGACTCCATCTCAAAAAAAAAAAAAAAAAGTATCTGGGACCCAGAACCGAGTGAAGACACCAGAGTGAAGGAGAGAGGCCATGCTTTGTCCGAGAAGCTCCTCCTGGGGTGGAAGGCACAGCTCCACAAAGGCTGCTCTTGCGGGGGCTCCCCTGCAGCCAGGTGCCTGCTGACTGTCCCCAAACTGCCCGCCAACAGAGGGATGCAAAGGGAGCCTCTTCCTGCTCTGTGGAATAGGCAAATTATGTCACCTTTCACTCCGGACTCTCACTTCTGCCCCTGCTACCCTTAGTCGTTGGCTTTTGCTGACATTTTCCTCTACATCTTTTCTCCTGACCAAGTTCTAGATATTTCATAGGGCAGTCTAGGTAAGGGTTGGAACCTCAATGAGTCGAGCAACAGAAACCCAGCTCACACTGGCTATCACTGTGGGCAAGCTGTTCCCCTCATTTCTAAAAGTGGAGATAAGATTAGTGTATGAGTCTGGCTGCCATTCAACTGTGTGTGAAAAACATTGTAAAATTTTCTTTCTGGTTTACACAAGTTAAAAGTTTATTTCTCTCATATGAAGGGAGTCAAGGCAGACAGACCAGGACGGGCAGGGAGATGTCTACAGGATCAAGGACCCAGGCTGTTATTTCGCTGTCTGACGTCCTCAGTATGAGGCTTTCACCTTCCAGGATGGCTGCGTGGCCTCCTGCCATGATCTTTGCATTCCAGCCAGTGAAGAGGAGGAAGGCATGAAGAAAGGCCTGCCCCTGACTTTAAAAACATTTCTTGGAAGTCCCATACGATTTTACTTAGTCTCCTCAGGCAGAATGTAGTGTTGTAGTCATACCTAGCTTCAGGAGAAGCTAGGAAATTAAATCTTTGTTGCACATGCCCATGTGTTCAGCAGAGAACTGGGGTGCTTCATTCTGGCAGAAAGGTAGAACAGCAGTAACCAGTTTGTAGGATTGTCCTGAGAATTAAATGAGCCAATGTATGAAAAACACTAGTTTGGTGCCTGGGATATAAATAAGACAGCAGTGGTTTGTATCTGCTACTATTATGATTAAATAAAGCTCAGCTCATGTCACCTCCATAGAGCCTTTAGTAAACCCCTCAAGTATTCTTTTTTTCTCTCTCTGAATTCCGTAGTATTTTATTCCAATTTTCTTTTATGGCACTTGTCACCTTCTACTATTTTTGTGTATGTTTTATGCTGTGTCAGGTAGATGCCTTCTTTTGTAAGGAAGTTCATCTCAAACACAAAGGAATTACTGGCTCATATGACTGAAAAAAGTTCAGTGGTGGGATAGGCTTCAGGTGCAGTCTGATACGGGCCCTGCCTTCCTTTCTCTAGTTTGCTCAGCTCTGCCCTTTCCATGGCAGCTTTCTCCTTTTGTTATTATTTGAAACTGAGTTTCGCTCTTATTGCCCAGGCTGGAGTGCAGTGTCCTGATCTCGGCTCACTGCAACCTCCACCTCCTGGGTTCAAGTGATTCTCCTGCCTCAGCCTCCTGAGTAGCTGGGATTACAGGCACATGCCACCATGCCTAGCTAATTTTTGTATTTTTAGTAGAGACGGGGTTTCACCATGTTGGCCAGGCTGGTCCTGAACTCCTGACCTCAGGTGATCCACCTGCTTCAGCCTCCCAAAGTGCTGGGATTACAGGCGTGAACCACTGGGCCTGGCCTGTTATTATTTTTAATAGAGACAGGGCCTCACTATGTTGCCCAGGCTGATCTTGAACTCCTGGACTCAAGCCATCCTCCTGTCTTGGCCTCCCAAAGTGCTGGGATTATAGGGGTGAGCCACCATGCCTGGCCACATGGCAGCTTTCTCCTGAGGCTATTCTCCCTCATTGCCGTAAGAGGAATGCAAACAGCCCCTACATTACTTTTTCCTTGTTAATATCAAAGGAAATAACCCTTAGCATTAAGTCTCTAACTTTACTCTGGACCATTCCTCAACTAATCACAGTGGGCAGGGGAAAGCCACACATTGAGTGGCTTGGGCTTGCCCATCTGATGTAATGAGCTGTGAGATCACCTATGCTGGCCTAGAGGCAGAGTAGGTCCCAATGAGATCACATGGCTGCTCTAATGTGGGGTGGTTTTCCAAAGCAAAATCAGAGGGGCCAATGGATACAGGATGGGCAAGCAATGTGAGCCCCCTGTACAAGCCTGCTAAAGCCTAAACACCTGGCCATCAGATGGTTTTCCTGTTGTCCACAGTATCTGGCAGTGTATTGTCACATATTTGCTGAATTCAGGGATGAATGAGTTTGACAACATTGATGGCTGGTGGAGAAACCATTCTCAAATGTAATCTGCCAGTCAGTAAATAGAGTATCTGAGATTCCTGTCTTGGTGGTATAAAGGGGTAGGGGGCGAAGAGTAGGAAGGAGGTGCTAGCACAGAAGGGACCAAGAAGAGGCTGGCCTGGCCCAGTGGATCTGCTCATGAATGAACATGGGAGAAGCCAAGCCCCTGGGAAGACAGAGCCAGAAAGACTGCTGCTCTGGGCCCTCCGCCCTCTCAGTCCTGTGGTCAGCCTAGTACTGGTGGGTTTGGTTGTTTCAAACATTAGATATAATGGAGCCTTGTTCCCAATCATGTCGTGATGTTGAACTGCCCTTTTAGTTTCTATTCACAGGAAAGGTCTTGTGTCAGTCTAGGGGAGGGAGCTTCCTGGGGTTTCTGACCTTTCTTTCCACTGCTTTCAGTTTCTGCTGGGGCACTCTGCCAGTCTTTGGAGAGAAACTTGCTCCAATGCTGTGTCTGTCTCACTGCTTCCTGTGCCAGCCCACTTCTGATTTCCTAGGTACCAGGATATCCAGGTTTGTGAGCTCTCATTGTTGGAAAAGTGTGCATTGCACTCTAGTAGGACACACTTAAGTTAATTTCATTATCCAAACCAAATTCAGCCTTCTTGGACATACCTATTCCTATCCTGATAAATATGGTGGGAAATGTGATCCCTCAAAATTGCAGCCCCCAACTGTAGGTTGGTGCGAAAGTAATTGCGGCTCTTGCCATTTTGATGCAAAAAGCGCAATTACTTTCGCACCAACCTAATATCTTCCAGACTAGGAGGCCAAGGTTTTCAGGGGGCTTGCCAGTGGGAAAACTCCTACCCTTACTCACCATTTAGGACTTGACCATTATAGTGGAGCTGCCATCCCCGCCTGGTAATAATAGAGCTGTTCCTGCTTAGACCACTGCATATACCGCCTACCCAACAAGTTTAACAGTCTCTCCTAATTGTTTAAGTTTAACCCTTGTCCTAATTGGCCTTATGGCCCAAGGTGCTCTCTTCTGCACTTCTCTGAGCCTTCCCACCTGTGGCATGAGACAGAGACCCTTTAAGTGCCACTGTCCCCAGGGCTCTGTCCTCTTTCCCTAAACACTTGAGAGCTCCTGAGATGACCTGTGCACAAGCCCCTGACATGACTCAAGTCTCCAACCCCAGACACTCTATCCCTTTTGAGCCCTGAATCTCCACTGAGATGTCCTGAACCGAGTTCCATATTGTCTCCCTGTGCCTGAGACTCCCTGTGTCCACTCAGTATCCCAGTCTGACAGCATCAAGTCACCTTGGGCCAGTCTTCAGTCCCATTAGTCCCTGAATTTCATCACTTCTGCATGATCTGGGCCTCAGACCAGGCCCTCACTGCTCTTCACCAGGACTTTTGCCCAGCCTCTGACAGCAGTGCTCCCTGCAACCTCCCCACTCCCACCTCCTCCACTGCTGCCTGGGGTCTAAGCACACCCCTGATCCAGCCACTCTCAGGAGGAGACTCTAGAGTGTTCCTGTCCCTTCTGGACCAAGGTCAGTTTTCTTCTCTGTACCAGAAAGTCTGACCCCTCTTACTTCTCTCACTCCCCTTCGCACTTATCCCCACAGAGAGGCAGTCTGTGCTCCAGCTTCATTAAAATTCCTGCTTCTGGAATTTTCTGAGCCTTTTTGCACCTCTAGACCTTTAAGTATGGAATGCTGCCCTCCCTCCCCCACCTCCTCCTCCAGGACCCTCTGGGCAGGTCTCCTAGCAGCCCCAGGTCTGGGAGGCTCTTTACCCCAAGCCTGGACCTTTGTGGGAAGGACTCTTCTCCAGCACTCTGCAGCCTTGGAGGGGTGACCTGACTATGAACCTATCTCCTTCCCCGTCCCAGGGGCCTCTCAGGCACAGAGCCTGCCTTGCTGACTGTTGTCTTCCTAGTGTCTACCATGTTTGCAGCAGGGCGCAGCTGCCCACTGAACACTGAATGAATGCCCCTGCCAAAAGCGCTAGTAATTTTCAAGTGAATCTTCTAGTGTTTCAAGCCGGGACAGTTGCAAGAAGTTATAGCTGGTTTCTCTGCTCCCATTTCTCACAAGCTCATTCAATCTGGTCATGGCCTTTGGATAGTTCTACCTAAATCACCCACAGGGCACTTTCTAGCTTCAAAGCCTGCCTTTCGTTGTTTTTCCATCGCCAACTCCGAGCCTAACTCTGACATTCGTTCATCTGCTGAGCGAGTGAGTGAGTGAATGAAAGAGCGAATGAATGAATGGAAGAATACATGAATGAATGCTTTGTATGTAGTAGAGAATTCTTGCACATGGAGCCCATTGCTAGGAGACTTTGGGGGTGGGAGTTGTTAACCTGGGAGCAAGGGGATTTGGGGAAACATCATCAGGAGGTAAGGAATTAGGCTCAGTGAGCGGCACCAGGGACTAAGATTCACACAGGGGGAGAGATTTAAAGTACAAAATTGAGGGCATCTCACCTGTCTGCCCAACTGACTCATAGACACATAATTTTTCAAGTTCTTAGGTGAGAAAGGGCTGTAAGTGGGAGTTGAAAGAGCTGTTTTCCTACCTAGCTGTAAACTTTAGGTGCAGAAGCTGGCCTCCTGGGACCTCAGCATGGACCAGCTCAGTTTGCTTGGAAGCCCCAAGGCCAGCAGCTGGACCAGGTGAGAGGTGGCCATGACAGCCTGTAGCACAGGGCCCAGGAGATCACTCCTCTTCCCAGGTCAGACATTCCTTGGTGGGGATAGAGGTTCTGCTTAAGGCAGGGTGACAGCAAGCAATCTGACTTCTGATAGTCTCTTTCTGGTAGGAGCGGCCCAGGGAATCCTGATGAAATGCACCTAAGGGTGCCAATTAGAGGCCAAGACTCCCAGTGTTTCTCATATCCTATTCCTCCCCTCTTCTTGACCGGCTCACTGCTATGGCCCACTTCAAAGTCTTCCTCCTTTGGGTTACCTTCCCTGGATATCTTGCTAGGAAGTAGCCACTTCCTCTCTTGGAAACCTGTACCTGCATCCTGAACCAGTGCTGCGTGGGCATTCAGCCCACATTGCCTTGTGGCTAGTGTAGGTTCATCTTCCTACTCAGCTGTAGGCACTATCTTCACATCCACCCTCCCAAGCACACAGTGCCCTGGACGGACATAGCCAACTGCTTTAAAGTATTTCTTGATTAACGGTAACTCAGTGATTTTTAATAACCTTCAGGAATTCTGCATTGACTTGGCCTCTTCCAGTCCATCACTAGGCAAGCTTGTCTGAAGCAGCACCCCTGTGGACCGGTGGTTTGTTAGTTGGCCGCAGAACTCCTTGAAGAGAGGTCCTCCTTGCATTCCCAGGGAAACGACCTAGGCCCCTCCTCCTCAGAGTGCCATTCATGAATGAGGCATCAGCATCACCTGGGTTACTTAGAAACACAGAACCTCACACTGAAAGAGTCAGAACCTGCCTTTGAATAGGCTCTCTAGGGGATTCATGCAAATGAATGCCTGGAAACCCTGGCCTAGGGAAGACTCTCACTGGGAAGCAGGGCTTTAAAAGGAGGGGCGAGGAGTGACACACTGAACAGCTGCTGGGAGGATCAACCCCACCCCTCTCTCAACTTAGATGGGGAAACTGAGGCCCTGGAAACCACAGAGGCTCACACCAGAGAGTTAGCAAAACACACTTCCCTGCCTGGGCTCTGGAGGCTGACTTCCCAGCTGCTAGCTTATCTTCTAGCTGTGTGCCCTTATGCAAGTTATTCTGCCTCTCTCTGCCTCAACTTCCCCATCTGTAAGAGCAACCTCCTAGATCTGCATATTTGATTATTGAACGACCAGGACAGGTAAGAGTGTACACAGTGCAGTGCCTGGCACACAGTGAGGCCCTGTATGTAGCTCTTGTTATTAGCGCTGCCCAAAGCCACATTCGCAGAAGACAGTCCAGCATCTAAAGTGCCTGCTTGAAGCATGGCCAGAAGGCAAGCAGATGGTGGGGTAGGCAGTGATGTCAATGAGCAAAAGCCTGCATCCATCCATCAGTACATTCACTCCTCCTCGAACAACTATGCGTGCTTGTCAAGTAAGGTCCTGACTGTTCAGCAGTGAGGGAGAGAGCTGGGGTGGTCAGTGGGCAGAGGCCGCTGAGGACTACGGGTACCTGGGCATGGACTCTAGCGCTGCAGTCCACAGACCCCGGGTCTCCGGCCAGGGGAAAATGAGCTCTTAGTGACGGGCCTTTCTCTGGCCTGGTATCAGGGGCCTGGGCCAGAGAGCCAGGGCTGTGTGCTGCCTTCCCATGGCTCTCATGCTGGGCACCAGTACGCATCATGCATCAGCAAGGATCCTAGGGCATCTGCAGCCCATACCCTGGGTGACAGCTGGCCTGGATGCAGCACAGGTTGAGCTCTTGGGGCATACGCCTTCTTCCTACCTCGTCCCCACGCTGTATGCCTCCAGGGCCTGCGGCCGCCTGTACCTGATCGCCCGCCTTGGGTTCTCCACGGAGCCTGCCTCTGAGTTATCTCCCGTGAGCCCCCAGCACCTGCCTCCCATCTGCAGCGGATTCCGCACTGTCCACCACCCATGACATTCGACTCCCCACGAGGCACCTCGCCTGGGCGTGCAGTACCTGTTTTGCTTCCACCCCGTTCCCAGCAGCGGGTTCCGCACCTGGGATCACACGTGAGATTCCCCCCACCCCACAACCGCATGCCTGGGCTTTACTTCTGCAACTGCCGCCCCATCCCTGCATCCCGCTCCGCACTTCCCGCGCATAAGGTTTGGCCAGGCCCTCCCAGTTGAAGCACCTGTTCTCCAAGACAGAGCCGCTGTGTCTCCGGTGCTCTGGGTGCAGGCCCGAGTAGGGATGGGAGGAGGTGCTCTTATTCCACTCCCTGTCCGGGACAGGGGCGGCTTTTCCTAGGGCACTCTTGCCTCAGTAGAGAGGGCCCGGCTACACCCACGTGCGGGAAGCGCGGGGCGGGATGCAGGGGTGGGGAGGCAGGGAGGAGGGCCCAGTGCGCGGTTGGGAGGTTGGGAGGGAGGGGAAGCTCAGCTCACGTGGAGTTGCTGTGCCGGCTCCAGGGAAAGCCCCCGAGCCTCCCGGTTCCGACGGTGTGCAGCCACTGAGAATTCATTAGCTTCGTGGATCCCTGATCTTTTCCCTTTTCTAACCTTTGCTCAGCTGCATTCTCACAAACTGCAAGCACGCGCCCCGCTGGCTAGCAGCAACCCGAGAACGCCCCCTCCCCCCACCCCCGCAAGACGCCAGTACCTGCTTGAGAGGGTGAGGGTCCCGGGACCCCTGCGAGGAGGAGGGTCGCGGGGTTCCAGGATGCCAAGCAGGAAAGATCACCTCGTTGCTTCTTCCACCAGCCTCTCCGCGGGACATAGCTAAAGTTGAACTTAGCATTCCAAGGGTCTGGAAACATCTTCGTGGGACCCATCGAGAGGTTGCTTAAAGACTGGCACCCGCTCCCGTGGCCAGGTGGGAAAAGGGCGGGCCAGAAGTGAAAGTCCGGCCGGGGCGCCACACCTAGGCCGTGGATTCCGAGAGGCTGCAGGCTGGCGGCCCGGGAGGCGCGGCAGGGGCGGAGTCGCCGGGGGCAGGCTTCGCGCACTTCCCGGGCCGGGTCAGCCTGGATGGACGAACCCGAGCCATGGCCAGCGCGGCGGCGGAGTCGGGGCGGGAGCTGCCGGCCTTCGCTGGGTCCCGGGACCCGAGCGCATCGCGGCTAGCCTACGGCTACGGCTACGGCTACGGCCCAGGCAGCCTGCGCGAGCTGCGGGCGCGCGAGTTCGGCCGCCTGGCAGGTGAGGCGGGAGCGGGGGGCAGGCGTGGGGACACGAGGTTTCTGGAACCGACGTGGACGGCTCTTTTGCTGCTAGTGAGAGCGGCGCTACCTAATTTGTCAAGTAAGGTCCTGGCCATTCAGCAGTGAGGGAGGGAGCTGGCGTGGTCAGTGCGCAGAGGCCACTGGGGCATTTTGAATAAATTGGGGCGCATTTTGAATCAAAACTCCAGGAGCGACGTGTCCACGCGTCCGCTTCGTAGACATGGCTCCCTGAGGTCCCACCTGCAGCCCCAAGGCTTCTTGCTACTCTTACTCTTCAGACTTTCCAGTGGGCAGGACTGACCCAGCCCTCTTCCCCTTTTCCCGCCCTCCGCGAGAGGGCTTAGGATGGTCCTTGACCTCTCTTGTGGGAGACCCCTCACTCTAAAGGGCCTGCTGGGGCCGGGGTTGCAAAAGACAGCATGTCCAGCGGCCGTGACCCTTCGGATGTCCGCCCGGGGTAGGAGCGGTGCGTGGGCCGCCAGCGCCCGGGCTGGGACAGTACCTCTGCCGGTGCGCCAGGTTGGGACCCAGAGGCCAAGGCCTTCTGGTAGGGGCCTCCCAAGGCTGCACTCTGCAGACTCCTCTGGGTTAGCCCGTATTCAGCTTTCATTTTCGAAACCTCATTTTCCTCACTCTTGCAGCGTCAGAACAATCCCTCTGAGCTCCAGTTGGCTGGAGGACTAGAAGAATTAGCAAACAGTGCGATTTCACCTTTAAGAACAGGGAGCGCCCGTGAATTAGATAAGAAGACCAAGATCACATCGTGCCTTTCCTCAGAGCGGAACAGGCTGATGAAATTGCAAATCAAGCTCCATCTGGCCTTGGCCCACCCGGCCCTCTGCTGCCCGGACCCAAGTTAGTGACTCATCCCTGTGACAGGGACTTTGGGTGCAGGGCTTCATCAAGCCCCAGAGCCGCCTACTGGACGGTCAGGGAGGGTCTGCAGGTGAAGTGGGCACCTCGTGGCACAGGGCACCGGGGTTTGAGTGCATCTGCTCTGTCGCAATGAACAACTGGTAACTACTCCCCTTTTCGGGGCAGAACAGCAACCATGACTTAGGTTTCACTACTTGGGTAGCTGATTTCAGCGCTCCGGGTCACTTCCTAGTGCTGTGAAGGGTAACTGTGTTTTCCCTTTGGGGACTGTGAGAACTGTGGTCTCCTCCTGTGTGTCTCCTCTGGCTTCCTAAGTAGGGAGACTCAGGAGGGAGACAGGGGTGCCTTCTGCCAGCCTCTGTCTATTCACTCCTCATCCTTCCCTGTCGCAGGGTCACCTGCTGGAGACAGCTCCTCACCCTTCTTTTGTATTCTCTCTCTCTCATCTGTTAATTATGGAAATTTCCTACCACTCAGAAATAGACAGAGACCATGAATGCCCACAGGTGCTGGGGAGGGAGGCTCTCCATTCTTTGAAGCAGCTCTTAAAGACTACCTGAGTAATTATGTCAGCACCACACCTCCTTAATCCCCTAAATCTCCTCCAGCTGTGATCTCTCACACCTAGTATTGGCCTACCTCTCCCCTCAGTGCTACCCTGGGAAAGTAGAGCTATATTCTTGTCCCCTCCTGGTTTCACTCCTGTTCCTCAAAGAATAGTACATTCCCCCTCAAATGCAAAATTGGGATGTGTCAGCCAGGCTGGCCCTCAGAACTCCTTTACCGCTTACTGTATTTCTGGTAGTGTTGTGGGCATCTTTTATTTAATGTAAGTTCCCCGTATTTCCTCTACATTATGGTTAAAGTGGACATTTGTGCACTAACCTGATGCCCCTCCCACTGCTGGGAGTCTTGGAACATGTCCACTTGTCTTTCTCCTAGAAACAAGCCAGAGAGAGGGCAGGAAAAACCAACCAAAATAATATAATCTCTTCCTGGCTCCTCCTCTCCCCTCATGAAGTTTTTCTGCCAGTTTGAGAATTTCTCTGGTTAAGTGGTAGCTCAGAATAATTAAATGCTTAAGCTTTAAGGGCTGAAATGTGTTACCTAGTGATTTGGATGGGAACTTCCTTGCCTTTGTGAAGGGAGCATATTGAATACACAGATGTGTGTCAAGGGTCTCTGGAAGCCTTCGTGCTGAATAATGACTACTCCTCATGCTGGAATGAGAACTGGACAAGGATGACCTAGAGCTGACTCTGGAATTCTCTTTCCTGAAGATCTGATGCCATTTAACTTTGGTGTCATTCACCTGTTTCTAATAGCAGCTACACCTGTGTCCCGAGCATTGGACTATGTGCTGCCATATACCAGCTCATTTAACCTTTGTCCCATCTGCAGATGAAGGAACAGGGGCCCAGAGTGGCTACTGGTGGAGCCAGGATTCAAGTCTGGGTTGATTGACTTGGATTCTGTACCATTAATCCCTATGCTGCCTGACTTTCTCCTAACATCACATGTATGACTGATCTAACACAACTTTCGCACCCTTTTGTTTTTCCTGCAAAATTAACCGTTGGACCAAAAGCCAAAGCAGCTTTTTCTCCAATAGCTACTTGGGCCTGCAGAAGACTGTGGCACAGTGTGAGATGCTCCCCAGCAGCTTCCAGGTCTCACCTGTGGCCTTGATGCCTAGGTGAACAAAAGCCTTTCTTCTGGTTTGGTAGCTTTGTATTTCTGAATCTTTAGTAAAAGATTCAGAACATTGTTTTAAAAGTATCTTTTTGGACTAGGTCATACATTTGATATGGTTTCGCTCTGTGTCCCCACCTAAATCTCATGTCTAATTGTAGTTCCCAGTGTTGGGCAAGGGATCTGGTAGGAGGTGATTGGATCAAGGGGGTGGATTTCCCCCTTGCAGTTCTCATGAGAGTGAATTCTTACAAGATCAGGTTGTTTAAAGTGTGTAGCACAAACTGGGTATGGTGGCTCAAGCCTGTAATCCTAGCACTTGGGAGGCTGAGGTGGGCCGATCACTTGAGCCCAGGAGTTCAAGAATAGCCTGGGCAACACAGTGAAACCCCGTCTGTACAAAACATACAAAAATTAGGCAGGCTCATGCCTAAAGTCCCAGCTACTGAGGAGGCTGAGGTGGGAGAATTGCTTGAACCTGGGAAGTCAAAGCTGCAGTGAGCTGAGATTGCGCCACTGCACTTCAGCCTGGGCAACACAGTGAAATACTGTCTCAAAACAAACAAACAAACAAACTTTCTTTAGCCAGGTGCAGTGGCTCATAACTGTAATCCCAGCACTTTGGGAGGCCAGCCTGGCCAACATGGCAAAACCCCATCTCTACTAAAAGTATAAAAATTAACCCGGTATGGTGGCACATGCCTGTAATCTCAGCTATTTGGGAGGCTGACCCAGGAGGTGGAGGTTGCAGTGAGCCGAGATTGAGCCCTGCACTCTAGCCTGTGACAGAGCAAGCCCTCTCTCTCTCAAAAAAAAAAAAAAAAAAGAAAAAGAAAAAAAGTGTGTAGCACTCCCCCTTCACAAGTACTTCTCTCCCCACCCTTTCTCTCCCACCCTCTTCTCTCTTCTCTTCTTTCTCTCTCTCTCTCTCTCTCTCCCCCTCCCTCCCTCCCGTCACCATAGTAAGATGTGCTTGCTTTGCCTTCCATCAAGATTGTAAAGTTTTCTGAGACCTCCCTAGCCATGCCTCCTATATAGCCTGTGCAACTGTGAGTCAATTAAACCTCTTTTCTTTATAAACTACCCAGTCTCAGGTAGTTCTTTATAGCAATGTGAGAATGGACTGATACAACATTTAATGGTATCAGATTCAAAAGTTGCCAAAGGAAGGTGAAGAATCACCAGGGAGCCTCCCTCTCACTCCAGCTGCAGCCACTGTGGCCACCTCAGAGTCAACTGCTGTCACTCATGTCTTGTGTATCTTTCCAGTGGTTGTCTATATTTATGTGTGCATGTGTGCACTTTTTGAGACAGGGACTTGCTCTGTCACCCAGGCTGGAATGCAGTGGCATGACTATAGCTCACTGCCACCTTGACCTCTTGGTCTTAAGCTATCCTCTTGCCTCAGCCTCCCAAGTAGCTGGGACTACAGGTGTGCACCACCATGCCTGGATATATATTTCTATAGAGAAGAGGTCTCACTATGTTGCTTATTCTGGTCTCAAATTCCTGGCCTCGAGCAATCCTCCTACCTCGGCCTCCCGAAATCCTGGGATTATAGATGTGAGTCACTGTATCCAGCCCTTACACTTTTTTTTTTTTAAAACCAAAAGTGAGCCGTATGTCTCAACACCTGACATAGTTTGTGTTTAAGGTCTTCCTCTGCCATTATCATACTAGCTTCTATTTTGTTCATTGCTATGTCCCCAGCACTTAGAACAATGCCTGGCACATAGTAGGTGCTCAATAAATATTTCTTGAGTGCAAACACAATCAACTAGGAATGAAAGGAAAATTAACCAACTGATAAAGGTCATCTTCAAAACCCCCACAGCTAACATCATACTTTGTGGTGAAAGACTGAAAACTTCCATCCTGAGTTTGAAACAAGACAAAGGTGCCTGTTCTCACCACTTCCATTCAGCATTATACTGGAGGCTCTAGCCAGGGCTATTAGGCTAGAAAACAAAATAGAAGGGTTCCGCATTGGAAAGAAGTAAAACTATCTCTACTTGCCAATAATGTAATTTTGTATATAAAAAATTTCAAGGAATCCACACACAAAACTATTGGAATTTAAAAACAAATTTAGCCAAGCGGTAGGATATAAGATCAATATGCAAACCTCAGTTCAATTTCTATACATT